GTGCTCCTTTTTGAACTACATCACAGGAAATCTTATAATATATGCAAGTATAATAATTTAAAAAAAAAAAAGGCAATTTTTCCACAAACAAGTTATCATTTCCACACACACACAAAACAAAAATTAAAATTAAGATGCGCAGTGCATTGTCACGGAAAATTGAAGATAATACAGAACAAATTCAAACACCAGTATTTCACCAACTAAAACCCATCTAACCAACCACATAACAGATGGCTGCTTCCTTCCCCCCCCCCCCCCATTTCTCAAAATCCAACATACAACAACTATAAATAACCCCAAAAAAAAACCTCCAATGTCATTAAAACCCAAAAACCCACCTCTGAAAAAAAAATTAACAAAAGAAATAAACCATTGATAAAACCCTAATATAAAGATTTAATGAAGATTTAACAATAACTAAAAATTAACCCCAAGTGATTTAAATAAATTGGAACAAGAGGGGAATTAAAACAATGGTCAGCAAGTTTAAAAAAATCAAGGTGGTTGACGCAAATTGCATGAAACCCAAAACGGAAAATTTGTGAACAAAACCAACGCGGGAAAAAGACCAAGATCTTTAGCAACGATTCCCGTACAAAACATTGATCGAAATCGAAGGAATGACGCAGAGGAACAGTTAAAAGAACAGCGCAAAAAAAATCAACAGGAAGTAGAGGAATCGGAAAACGACGTCGTATCAAACGGATCCAATTAGGGCACACGCACCTGGAATCGAAGGAGCAGACAACAACAATAACTCTGAGATTTTAGAGAGAGAAAGTCGAAGAGAGAGAAAGTCGAAGAGAGAGAAAGAGCGACAAAGAAAGGGGAGCAAGAGCAAGACAGGGCAAAGGTATAACCCAAAAACGAAAATTAGTATTTTTGCTGTCTTTATTTTATTTTAATTTTTATTATTATTATTATTAGTTTATTTTATATTATTATTAATATGTACATATCTAAAAGAGGATTTTCTTTATTATTTACTACGTTTCCTCGTTAAAAAAGACAAAAATGAAAATAATAGTTATGCTCGTGAATTTCTGTTTAAAATTGTAAGAAAATACTGCAATAGTGTTTTCAAATTTTTCGTTAAATTACATTAAAATTGTAAGTAAATACGGTAAAAATATTTCAAATTTTGTTAACTTATTTAGTTATAGAAATTAATTAAAATATAGATATTATTATTTAGAAAAATATATAATTTTATAATAAAAATTTATAATTATACATCAAAATATATATTATTAAAAAATAAATATTAATTTAGAAAGTTATTTAATTATAATTGAATATGTAATTAATTGTAATTTAATAATTATATATCGAAATTATATAATCAAGTACGTATTTAATTGTAACAATTAATATTTATTTATTTATTTTCTTTCAAATGAATAAAATTATTTCATTCTTTATTTTATTTGTTATTTTTATATTATTATTGAAGACAGTATGTCTAATTGAGAAATGAATTTTAGTGATTGAAAAAAAATATTTGAATTGAACAAAAATAAAGAAAATTAAATAAAAATAAGTAATTAATAAAAACTATATAATAGAATAAATTAATAAATTATCAAAATATTTTTTATATAATTCTAAATTTTAATAAAAATAAATATAAATTAAAATTTAGATATGATTTAACATAAAGTAATTATTTAATAAAATAAATTATAATTAAAAATAATAAATCAAAAATATATTTCAAATATTTTATTGGTATATTTATATTTATAATAATTCATAAATAATATAAAATTATACAAATTATTTAAAGAAATTACAATGGAAATAAATATTAAATTTACAAATATAAGAAATAATTAATAATTTACTTTCAATATTAATATATTTATGAAAATTAAAAATATTATTTTAAAACAACTCTAATTTTATTATAAAAATAAATAAATTCATATGTTAATAATATTTAACCAAATATCCATACACCAAATGCAAAAAAAAAAGTTGAACTTAAAAGTAACATTAACTTTATCCTTTTATATTTCTTTTAATTTTATGGATTTAAATTTTACACATGAAATATTTATTTAAAATATCATTATAATGATTTAATTTATTAAAATATAAAATTACAAATAAATTAAAGTTACAATATTTTAAATTATTTCAATATTACAACACTGAAAATATTAAAATTCTATATCTAATGAGATATTTTAAATTTAATAAAAAATTTATCTAAAATATAATTCCAATATGATTTTTACTATCGTTATTCGAAAACTGAATGATTTAATATGATAAAGAAAAAATTATATATATATATATATATATATATATATAATTAAAAAATAAATCAATTAAAAAAATTTGTTTATTTTCATCATAGTTATGATTGAGCTAAATTGATAATAAATTAATATAAAAATATATAACTATTTATTAGGAAAGATATAATTATATACTCGATTATGATATTCTACATAAACAAAGACAAAGAGAATTGGGTTAGAGAATTAAGGTTTGAAGATATTTTACAAGATCAAGGAGTTTTGATGTAAGTTCATTATGAAAATTTACAATCACTTACTTGATGCACTAGTTGGTAAAGTCAAAATCATGTTTCACATGGTAGAGTTGTTTATATGATAAGTCTAATATTTTTTTAAAAATTTAGTTGTGGACCGTGCAGTTATGTGATAAATATTATTAAGTAAAATAATTATTTAAAGATTAATTTAAATTATAGTTTATCAATTATAATAACAACTTAAATTATAGTTTATATTTTATATATATTTTTAATCAATAAAGATGTAAATTATGAATAATTTTATATACTTCTATGTATTTCTATCATTATTCATTTAAAGAAAAATTTGTGTAACATGAGAAAGAATAAGGTACATAAGACAAATATCATGAACATGATGACTTTCTAGCAAAATCCTACCAATTTAATGAATAAAGTTATAATTGTGTATTTTTCTTATTTCAAATCTTTTTGAACAATCCATCCCTAAATCCAAACAGACAATAAAAAATAAGTTTGCTTTCGAAGTGGAAAGGAACTATATGCTAAATATGTATTAGACAATCTATATCTCAAGGTTAACCCATTAAATTATTTATATTGTTGAGAACTCTCATAATCTAGACCTAAGTATCCACAAAATATTTCTTTATTTAAATCCTATTCTTTTAAGGTTATGTTAAGGTGTTAAAAGATAGAACGATTTTATTGAATGAGAAATCATAACATATATTAATTTATTGATTAAAAAAAAAAATTAAGTGTTATCATATAATTTTTAATAATTTAAATTCATAAGTTAGAGATTTGAGAAAAAATGTCTTATGTTTGAAAAATTATATTTTAGTGTTTATTTTTTTTATTATAAAAATAATATAATATTTATTTTCTAATATCCTAAAATCATTTTATTTTCTTTTCTATCAGTGTAATATATAATAATTGTATTTTTTATTTATTAAAAATGATGATGTTATTGTTTTCTTTTTAGATTTAAAAGAGAAATATTGTGATTTATTTCTTATAATAAAATTTTATTATAGTTCATTATTGTTTTTTTTTTTAAATTGTGAGTGTTACGTTGTTATTATACCTAATATTGATATTAAAACCATTTGGTCGTATTATTATTTTGCTTCGATAGCTTAATAGTGTTGAAGAAAAAAATTAATATACTTTATGATTAGATTTAATTTGATCTTCAACCATGCAAAATAGTTTTTAAACGATTAAATATAGTGTTGTAACATAACAAGGCAATGTCTAAGAAAGTTATAAAAGTATTTATTAGTAACTGACTTCTTTTTCTTAAAAATTTATCTGATATACTAATTAAGTTCTATGTTATAATTAGGTTCCATAAATATGTTAAAATCATTACAATAAAATATAAAATAGAGAAATTTAAGATGTATAATAGCATAAAATATTAATGATCACGTCAACATTAAAACAACTAACAATAAATGCTAAATATTTTTTTATTTATCAAAGAAAAATAAAGTAAAAAAGCAATTAACCAAATGCAGAACTAATAAATTTATTACAAAATTATAAATATATCTAAGCATATTTTATAATAGAATTGATAAAAACTTATTATTGGTAAATTAGGAAATTGGTAGTGAGGAATATTTGTTTTTTTCCTAAAGTCTTGATTGATAAAATCTCACGTTTGTCTAAACAGGTTTATAGAAGTTATTTTATATTAGTTTTCACAATTTGATTTTTAACCTATATATAAATAATTTTTAGTTTATGAAAAGAATATTTAATTTTCATTTTATATTTTTTAATTTTAAAAATACTTACAAAGAAGTTTTTCCAAACATCCTTAATGTCTAAAGATTGAAAAGAATAAGAAAAAAATGTTTTAACAAAGATCAGTCAAACTTAACCCAAATTTGAGAGTGAATATTACATGAACCTAAATGATGCACTCATGTATAAACTTTATTAATAATGTAACAATAGTTTTGACAAGAAAGAAAAAAAGATCTTGTTGATGATGATTGGAAAACATTGTTGTTATGTTGTCATGCATATTATTAACTTTTTAAAACACTATTTTGATTAGTGTTTTTCTTGCAAGAGGCCCTTTTTGTGTTAACACTAAAAGTTGGAAAAGAAAATACATTTTCCTTTCAGCTAATTGATTAATTACACAAAGAAATTCTCAAAGCAGGCCTACTTTTTATATGCAACATCAACAAACTAAGCTAAGAAACTGCCAATTTTTTTCCTTCTCTCTTTATCTCCCAAAAAACAATTAAAGAATATCTTGTTGTACTTAAAATACAATTCAGCACATATTCTGGTTTAGTCTCGTGTATGTTTCAATGCCTAATGATGAAAACCCATTTTGTGTGCTTTCAAATATACAACCCTGCTCCCCTTCCTTGTCACAAGGCAAGAATTGTAGAGCAAGAGATGCATCATGCCAATGGTATCTCTGTGCTTAAACTTCAGCCAGAGATACAACAGTTTGGCTTCATCTTCTCTTAGCTAACTGGAATGTCCTCTTCAAGAAAAGATTAGCAGATCTGTCATTTCTATGGCACAACACCCTCAGTATTGTGTTTGGATCTGACCTATTCCACCTTCCTGTGGTAGGTGGCATAGGCAATTTCTGTCCATCACCCATGACTCCGATTCCACTTGTTTCACAAGTGGCAGTGTTGAAATCTTCCATCAATTGTTCAGTGGTTTGGCCCATCAATGCAATGACACCCTCCACAACTGCAGCCTCTCTCTCCACCAAATTTTCTGCAATTAGTCCCTCCCCACAAGTGCAGAAAACTCGGTTCAAGCTCTCAAAGTCCTCTTGGATCATCACATGATCAGACCTGTTAAACACCCTTGAGCTTCCACCTGCAAGCAAAACCATGAGGAATGCGTCGAAGGAGGCCTTCATTACTTCTTTCATTGCAAGTGCTTGAGCTCTATCAGTCAAAAGTGTAGTCATCAGTGTGATGTTTTGCTTGAGGATCCTCAATGCAGGCTTAATGCGTGCATTGGGTACATCGTCAAGATAGAGGCTACCATAGAAGGCTGAGTTGGAGTCTAGGAATATGAGGCGGTATGCTGCAACTTCTGAGACATGTTGACATGCTGCTGGGATGGAGGAATTGATTACATCAAAATAGGGACCGCTACGTTTGCGATTTGAAGGGATTACACCAGGGGTCTGAGAGAGTGTTTTCTCAAGGGTGTTAATGTGAGCGTGGAGGTAGTGTAAGGTGTTGAGACGAACATAGAGGCGTTGCGTGCCACGACTAGTTGATGGCCTAGGATGATGACCTTCAGTTATGTGATCCATATCTGAGGGATTAACACCACAAGGGGCAGCTTTCTTCCACAACTTGATAAACTTTGAGTCACGATTGCATCTCGTCAAAGGGGGAAGTGAAGGAATATAGCTCTGCTTTGTACCTGAAATTTTGCATTGGTAAGTTGAAATTCTCGCTTCAATGTAGTGATTATTAATCAAAAGCTAAAAGATGCATTAAATTTATAATAACGTTTTAAGTGGTTACTGTAGTCTTGCAAAAATTGCTTACTTCCATGAGCAAGCATACAATCCAAGTTGCCCCAAGTAAAATAAGAATCTCTAGTTACTAGTTGCATGTGTATTGTTTATTCTCTAAAGACAACAAGTTTGATTATTTATGCACAAGCACAATACTTACCACATGCTGCAATAAACATCATGTAGTCCTGGAAGAGGCTTTGCAATCCATCAGCAAGTTCTTGAACTATATCTTCAGTTATTCCTATTGGAATTTTGAAGAATTGTTCTACAACTGTCTTGGCACATTTCACCAGTTCTACGACTGATGATGCATATGGCTCTGATTTGGACTTTGGATTCCATGTCTGCAGTGAAAGAAAAAGGAAATTAAAATTTCATTCTCAGTTTTATATAAATATCAAATCTTTTATCTAAATAAATGTTTTTAATTGTATCCTTCCTTTTAGTCTTTGATGGAAAGAATATCATTGATCGAAAACTTACTTCAGTTTCTTTTGCTCTTTGCAAATAGTCTTTTCCACTGGTCAGTAATTCATTTATCCATTTTCTCAGGAGGTTCAATATGATTGAATCAACTTCATAGGGAACCATCTCTTTCATAACTTTTCTATCATTATCCTCACCCTCAGTACAGTCCTCAACCACCATTTGGAGCAAAACCTTTTCTACCTTTTCGGCCTTTTGCAACACCTCCACTGTCTCACGAGTCAGTGAGGTCATATCACCTAAATATTGCCTCAGCACATGGCCATAGCAACTGTGCAACATCATTGCTGCAACTGCTCCTGCTTTTGGGTGCCATTTCTGTAGCATTGGAGTAAAATTCTCTCTTTCCTTCATTGCCAAATCTTCTGTCTCTTGAGATACATGAAGTAGAATCTCACTAAACGCTCCCTTTATTCCCAATTCAATAGCCCTGGCATTCACTGACTCAATTACCTGCATTCATAAAAAGGAAAAACACAGTATGGGTAACACACACTATAACATAACATACTAAGGTGCAATGAGAAGGTATGCTTAGAAACAAACCTTATCAAATGCACTTTTTATGCTAGATCTAATGTAATAGTCAATCCTATCCCCTGATGAGTCAACTATGGATATATCTCCCTTCTTTCCCAATTCTCCGTCATCAGATATTGTGAGATCTTCACCTAGAATCTGGGAGACTGACAACACCACAGGAACAATGTTTTCAATTTGGCTAATATTCCCTCTCTGGAAATACTCATGATAATCAATAAGTCTCTTCTCAGCCCAACCCAGGATTGAATTCAGCACGGATGTCAACAGCTTCACATAGAATGATTCCTTTTCCCTCCTAGCATCAATGGCCACCTCAGACAACATGGCATGTGTGGCACAAAGAAGGTCAGGCTCTATCTGCCCAGTTACCACATATTGTTGAAACAACACCCAAGTGAAGCACAAGTTGTGAATAGGCCTAGTGATCCCCAAGATGGACCACGTCTTCTTCATTAGCTCAAGGAGCTCATCAACCTCATCAAGGACTAATGTGTCATCCCTAATGTCAAAAATGGCTTGAAGAAGAGAAGTGTACAGGTGAATGTTCAAAGGGGATCCATCAGCCCAGTGGGAAATATCAGTGGGAGTACCATTGGAACTTCTCCATGCTAAGGAAACTACTGAGTTGGAAAGAGATCTCAAAGTGTCAGAGTTTTTCCCGGTGTCTATGGGTTTGAACTCACCACTGCGAATGATGTCCCTAAGGCGCATGGCAAAGGTGGTGGCCTTTGCTACAGGGATTGAAGGGTGTGTTAGAAGCCCTACTTCAAGGACTCTTAGCTGCCTCTTTTGCCACATGTGATACTCATTGGAATCACTAAATTCAGAAGGTTTTAGGTGCCTCAGAAGTTCTAAGGGGAGAATGATAGTTTCTGCTCTTCTTCCTGCCTGCAATATTGCAGCATTTTGAAAAAAGTTAGACCAACAAATGCTTAATATGTTTATGGGTTTAGTTAGTAATACTATATCCTTATTATCAATTCAATGAAACGAAATGGAATCACACTAATTAAGTCCAAAATGGAAGCCACAAAACCAATGTAGCCTAATCTTTTTCCTTTTTTTTTTTTTTTTCTTTGTTTCAGGAGAACAACAAATTGACTTGAATGTCTCAACACATTATACATCTTTAGGAAAATACATATAGACAACTTTTTTTTTTGAAAAAAAAAAAACAGCCAACTGACAACTATAGTTATAATAATAATAATAAACATCTTTAAATTTGTTATGTATATTATTATTAAACTGAGATTGTAGATTGATGATTGACAAAAATAGATTATCCAAATATCATTGTTCACGAAGAATTTACACTCCATTAAAAACACAATTATGGTTAGAATATTAATAATATTTATTTGAAAGTTAAATAATATTTTTACTTTCAATATATATATATATATATATATATATATATATATATATTTTAAATAATTCAATTTCACAAATCATAATTATTTCAGAAATGATATTTTGACACCCAAATTATATACAACTCTTACCAATAACCCTCTTTTAATATTATAATAATAAATTTAATTTATTTTCATTTTTATTAAATCATTTTATAATTATTATATTAAAAAAACTTTGTTTTTTGGGTTTAGAAAATATCACTTCTCTAGTTATTTTATATGAATTTGCCATTCTAGCTAATAATTGGTTTGACTATTACACGTACATATAGCCTTTTCCTCTTTTCTAACAAATTACATGTGTGATTAAGACATGAACATAACACAAAAACAAGATGGTTACAGAATTAGAACAAATCACAGAAAACATAATAATGAGGTTGAATTAATCAAAAGGTAATAAAACGATGTCTAAAAAAAGAAAACAAAAAGAAAAAGGCAATGATTCCTTGAAGTAATTAGATACCTAGGTAATTGATAAATCTAACCTTCTTCTATCTTCTTAACTTTCAAAGTCATCACATAATTTCAACAGGAACCATAAAATCACAACCAAAAAAATTTCAGAACAAAAAATGACGACTAAATTAACAACATATTACGTCCATGCATGCAACATGCATATGCTTACTACATACTTGGCCAACAAGGGTCCTCATGATGGTTTTCCTCAATCGATTGTCGTTGTGCTCAGTCACTTTCATCTGCTGTCTCATGATCTCAGCAGAAGTCATCGGTCGTCGCGGCCTTAACGGCGGCGTGGAATTATGAAAAGGGCTACCTCCGTTTACCGGCGACGATGGCCCGCCACTGCCACCAGACACCATTCTCCTCGATGGTGACCTCTTTAACATCTTCAACCCTAGGGCCCGCTTCACCTTGCTTGTTGGCGACATCACCACATTGGGTGACTTTGGCTCGTTCTCATGGTTACTCCAATGGAACGATTGTGTTTGCCGAACCCCGAACCCTGGCGAGGACCGGCAAGCGGTGAAAAAGATTTCATAAGCACATTCCCTAACATCATCTGGACTCAGTCTCTCGAGTTTGTCGAAGGGAAAGACTAGATCATGAGCCTCGTCCTTACTGGCAAATTCGAGTTGACGTTGATCAGAATAATAGTGGTGACATCGGTGATGACAATAATTGTAACTGTAATCTTTCCGATGCTGTGCGGCAGAAGGCAAGGGACCAGAATATGATTCCCGGTGGGTTTGCTGACCCATAAGGAGAAGGTGGGTGGTGGGTCAGAAACCAATCGGTGAATGGTGGCGGCGACAAAACAATGACTATATATATATATTGTCAAAGTGTGTGGGGGGAAAAGGAAGAGGTTTTTTTTGTCTTAAATGAGGGGATAAGAGAGAGAATGCATGAATATTAAGGTTACGGTGTTCGTTTACGTTTCGTTAATGACAACACTTTTCTGCATGGATGGTGCATGAAAGAGAAACAAAAAGAGACGAGTGATCGTGGCTTTGCCCACGTTGTCATCTGCGAAGAATACGAGAAACAAACAAAAGGTGGTCTACTAGCCAAAATAGAGGAAGACTCGTGCATTTTTCTCGGAACCCATTTTCTTTTTGTTCTCTTTGGTTCTATGTTTTTGTTACAACATGCAAGTGTTAATTCGTATCATTACATTACAGTATTTCTTTCTATTTGCTGTCATGAGTCATCATGTAGTTTGTTTGAGATGATACATGGACTTTCAATTTCATTTATTGCTTTGTCATTGGGAATAAACAATCGATATACAATTATAGATGTTCCTTTTACATCATGGATATATCTCCAATTAGATTATTTAAAATATCATAAAAAGTGGATATTTTAGGATTTTTTTTCCCTTCAAGAGTAGAATTAAGTAAGAAAAATTTACGAAGTTTATAAATCATTTATATATATATATTTCTCTCCACAAATTTTTACCATTTGTTTTCCTTTTACATATGTTAGAATGATACAAGAGACTCAAATTTACGAATTCAGTTTAATTTTTTTTCTTGTTTATTTTTAATATCATATGTTATGAAATTATGACGTTGATATGGTAATAATTTTTTTTTAATTTGACAAATAATTTTAGGGATTGTTTGCTTCCAAGCCATAAATTTGTGAAGAAAATACTCTGCCCACCTTATTTGTATTTTTCGAATTTACAGAGAAAGGTTGATTAAATTGATTTTGTGCAAAAGTAACGAGAAAAAGAGAAGAAGAAAGATACGTGGCAATGAGAGAGTTTAATATTTTTATATAATTCTTAATGATTTTTATCCAATTGTATTTAACAATCAAACTTTTTAAATGCTAGATGGATAAATCTGCACATTATATATGTTCAATCTAAATGAACAAAATTATTGTCATTTTGTTATGACTAACTATAAGTTTAATCTAATAATGAAGGAAATGTGGCAGGACATAACACACATTTGTAGGTTAGATCTGAGGCATAGCATTCTCCCATGATTAAGAAAACTGATGTGGCCACAGCATCTCTCACTCATCATTGCGTGCCTAACGTTATCGTTTTGGAAACTCAGTGGAGCCAAACGGCTTTTTAAATTTGTGACAACCCCACATATCCTATCACACTCTCTGTCACTGACCCTTTATGGCAATGCTAGTAATTGGGACGGTATATGATAATGTTGATTGTATAATAAATCAATCATTGAAACTACACTGAGATTGGGTTACAAAATAGGCAAGTTAACAGTATAAATAAATCTACACTAACATAGCCTTTACTTTCATACAAGAACCTTTTTACCTTAAATTCTTTAACCAATATGAAACATTAGTTAATGTTGTTCTATATAATATAGTCAAATTCCTCAGCTTCCTTTGTTCTCTTTTCATAAGGGTGCTCAAGAATGGGGTGTTTTATGGATTGTTTTGGCTTATCCAAGAAAAAAAGCGTCCAAGGAGATTCTACAGGGTTATAGCTGAAGACCAAGTAAAAAGAAATCCCATCTTCCAGACTCTCATTGGATCATGTGGTTAAGCATCTGGGGTTCTCTTTCATCTTGCAGAAATATGGAAATTGTGAAGCTCTAAATCTAAACCTTTTCTCACCGTGAATCATGCTATCACAGAGAATCACATTGTCCCATTTTCTGATTTCAGGTTAGTTAGCACAATCTCATCCCCCTTTTAAAATCTGTGTATATGGTAGTAAATTAATTGTTTTTGTGTTTTGACAGAGGTGGGGAAAAGTGTAAGGTGCATATTAGTGGCAAAAAACAGGAAGAAAATAAGGTTTAATTTGAATGTAAAGATATTTCAGACAAACTGATGTGAATCACAAGGAGTGATTTATGATCTTTAGAGTTAAAACCTTGTAAGAAATTTAAGAATTTAGTAATAAGGTGAAAGAAAAGAATCACTCTTTCAAAAGAAGACAACTCAAAAAAGATGTGAAAGTCCTTTGATACAGCTAAGGGTTCTTGAATCACTCAAGAATTTAGGAGAATCACTCTCACTAAGATAAAAGAGATAAACTCTAATATTCTGAATAAAATTTCACTTGTTATTTTTGATAAAAATGGTTCAGCCTATTTAAAAGCTTTGTCATGAGAATTACAAAGATTCAATAAAAGAAAATAAATGCTAATAATGATTCATTAACCTAGGAATTGAAAACTACTTAATGAAGACAAATAAAAGCTAATAATAATCCATTAATTTAAGAATTGATACTACTTAATGACTGATTGTAACTGAAATTGTGGCAACCAAAAGTCAATCAGCTATACACTCTCTTGGTCTCCCAAAGACTGATAACTAAATTTCCAATTGGACCCTTATTACAACTTGCAATAAAACCAAACTAAAGTCCATTAATTGATTAATCCAAAACACAATTTGGCCAACAACAATACTTGTTGAAGAGCTGAATTTGCTTCTCTTGCTCTAGTCCTTATCATAGATCATGTTGACATCACAAACCTAACTACATATCAGATTTTGGATAATGAGAAAAAAGAAAGTGATAAAATCAATGGTGAAGCAGAAGGGTCAGCAAATTTGACGATGACATATCCTTCCAATTACAAATACTACAACTACAGAGGAGACTGCGATGGTGAGGATGATATTGCAGATGAGGCCTATAATAGTGATGGATACGATAACGATGAATATGACGATGGTGATGGTGATGGTAGTGAAGAGAATAAAGAGTTTGACGCATGTGATCAGAAGAACACAAGACAAAAAAGGTTGCTCGAGCTGTATTCCTTGGTGGCAGAAGAAAAAATAAAGAATCAATTACCACTTGCTCCCGTTGATGCTTACTTGAAATCAAACTTATGTGGATAAGACAGAAGCATGTGCATGCCTTCTGTAACGTGCCCTGTAGAGAACCTGGCCCAGTGGGAAGCAATCAAAGCAAAAGTTACGTCAAGTTATAAGCAGAGGAGCAAGGAGAATGTTCCACAGAGCAAAAGAAAAGTATGCCCTTTGGCTCAGAAACAATTTTCGATTCTTCACCTTTCAGGTAAGATTCAGAAGTACATCACTCCAACTTCAATCCTCTATTGCCAGAAGTTGCAGTTGATTATAGTTTTTCAAACTGGTTCGTTTCTCCAAATCCTATTGCTCTATGACTGCTTCTATAGTTCATTGTCAACTAAGCAGGCATGACAGGGAATAAAAGATCTAGAAAATATTAATCCATTGACTCCATAGGTCAAATTTTAGTTGGCAAGAAATCACACTGTTGATTGCAATATAATATTAACACCCTATCTGTGGACAACAATTATAGAAGAGGACGCATAAAGTTTGATTCTTCTGATGTTTATTCCTTCAGCAAATTGGTATGGACCAGTTGGGATGACGGCGTTATGTTTGTATTTGTAATTCTTATCCTATGTTTTGCTTTCAATAGTTTATGTATTAATAAAATGGTGTGAGGTTCTGTCTATGTTTATGTATTCATGTTTGCAACAACATAAAAGAAAGTAAATCTAATAAAAAACAAATTTTTCAGTTTTACAGAAATTTAAAGACTTGATCTTCCTCATTCCGATTGCTAAATTCAACTTCTATAAGTGAGTTATTGTCAAGTCAAACACATGTAAGTAGATTCACATTAACAGTAGAACTGAATATAAATGCTTATTCTAATTTCTACAGGAGAGGGCAAGCAGTGCCCAAGTACTGTTTCAGCATAATTATATGAGAATGAGTACCCAAATCATGAAAATTTGTTCCTTACATTGAGGAACAAAGAATACAAAAGGAAATATTTAATAGAGGTGCCTCCTCGTCAATTAGAAAATGGTGATTAAAACAATTTAGCGCAGAGCTATCACCAATGTCCAAATCATATTGCTGTACTTGATCTACATCCGAGAACTCACCCCAAAGTCCATCCATGAAATCATCTCAAAACCCAGTGAAATGGATCCACTTGGTAGACATGAGAAGTCACTTGTCTGGGTTTATTGGACTGTTGATCCCACGTCAAAGCACAGATCAAACCTGCTAAGTTGTCATGTTTGGTCAAAGTCAGGGCTGGCAAGCCACGGTAATGCCCCCTGATCCAGCAGAGTTTGAGACAATTATCAAGATGGTTTCTACATTATTGTACAGATGCAAGAATCTGAATCCTCATCTTCTGAATCACTGACATCACTGCAGATAGAATGGGAGACCAAATGGGAATGAATTCTTGTATTATCTTGATAAATGACAGATAAGACTGATTGTCATACTCACTTACATTTGTTACATTGAAGCAGTACTGCAAATGCATTGATTGAACTATTATCCCAAAAAGAAAGACAACAAATGGAAACATCTTTATTTTTTTTCTTCCTACTATTTTCCTTCTTTCCCTTTCTTCAGGTGAAATTAAACTAAGGAGTTTATAGAATTAAAGAGTTTTTGATAGTATAACTATCCCAAATACCACACCCACTACCCTAGAAGAAGGAACTCACAAACCCACTAATCCTAGCCCAAATAAAATAACTGACATCAGTGAAGAGAAATCTAGAAGAAAGATTCAAGCTCCTATCCGTTTGAAGGATTACATACTATATTAGCCACATGTAGGGCTACCTGTGACAAGAGGAACCAATTCTGTTGTTTGCATGAGTTGTAATAATTGAGAACCTTCTTTTATGATGTTGTTTTTCCTTTTATCAGTGTATATAAGACACGCATACAGTACGTAATGGAGGCAGAAAAAAGAACCAAGAGCATTCTCTGTCACTGTTCTCTCCTCTCTGTATAATCCTTCCAGTTTTCAAGACACTTCTTAACCCACCAGCATAGGACCAGCTCCAACACATCTAAATGAATTCAGTATGTAAAGAAAGCAAGCAAAAATGAAACAAGTCTAATTTTTCTAAAAAGGATTATAGTTGCTCGCTTCAAGCAATATGGCTTCAGTGATATTTTTTCATTCACAGGAAACAATCAAAATCCTCAAAACTCACGATTTCCCATACTAACTTTTCCTGCTTTTCCCAAGGTTTCTAAGTTTCATACCTGTAATCTCTATTAGGTGTCACCTTGTCACCATAAGTTCACCCTTGTCAACAGATGCAGCCATGTTCTCCCTATATTGTCTCCGGAGTCCCACTAAGGAAATACAGTAACCAAAAAATCCCCCTTCAATACATCTCATACATAGGTTATACTTAAGATTCAATCCTTTTCAACTTCTTCATGAATGAGAGCAGAATGAAATTCCACCTTGGAACTCACATGAGTCTATTTCTCCGCATTTTTTCCAGTCTGTGTCAAAATAAAACACCCTATGGACTGTTCCTCTCCAAAACCAACTAACCTGCATGTTTGCTACCTTTTCTCCCTCTTATTATTAGCCCATCATGTCCATTCCAGTCTGGTAGAAAAGGTAATAGATCTTTGAATGTAGCCTTTGATTCTATTCTATCTTTCACGTTCAATAACCACAAAGGTATGAAAATGACACAGAAAGGAAAGCAAGGGAACTTATTGCACAGGTACAAGAGAAGTATTACGCTTGGATTTCAGTGGCACCCCCTTTATTCTAAATTGATGAAACTCATGGTAGTGAACTAAAAAAATAACAGGGTTCATGTTTTTTAAGATGTGCTATTAATGCAAATGCTTTATGCTCAAGAGTCACAAAACATAAATTATTTTAGGTAGTCAAAACTCTATCGCTGAAAAAATTGTGATGCATTGTGGAAAGTTGGTAAGGAATCAGATTATTCTAATATATTGTTTCATTGCTCCTTGAAGAACTTCACCTGATTCATACTTGTTGTTTGTCATACAGACTTACATTAGTTTAAGGAGACATGTTGGTAGTAGGAACCCTCAGCATTGGCCTTCCTGCAATATTTCTAAATTAACCTAATTATTGCCAGCAACTTACATTGACGGTTTCCTTATAGTACAATCAAAACCATCACTAATTATCAAATATTAAAAAGTTAGCAAACTAGAGTTTAGGTCCTTGAAAGATTATGCGCACATTGATTTACTCTCCGAAGATCATCTATATCAGTTGACAACAATTTTTTGCCCGTGTTAATGCTCGCATAATAGATTTAAAGGTCCCCACATGTATTGTTTTTGGTAAGATCAAACACTTGTAACAATCAGGAATGTGATTTTGAAAATGGGCTATGGCATATCATGCAAATCCTAAAAGCTGTAGGTTTAAAACTCAAATATCACTTGACCAGTATTTTACAAGTCTGCACACAAAGTTGTAAGTCTAACAAATAAATCTTTATAGTTTAAACTTTAATGTAGTGTTTTTTAATCTTTTTCACTTTGCTGTAACTGCTGTAAAGCAAACAAGAAGTGGTACATTTTTTTAGTGCTGTCATGAGATAAGAAAGTTGTAAGTCAATAGGAGAGGGTAGCTGTAAAGGGAGAAAAATATATACTGCACTTCAATGAATAATAGTCACTCAACGAGGGTGAAACAAAGTGATGCAATAGAAGTGGCCCCCAAATTCCAATCCTATTAGGTATATATCACAGAAAACACCACCTAAAAGTACCATTTACAGATTATCAAAAAGGTACCCATAAAATAAACTGCCCTGCAGTAAGTCTTAAGAAAACTCAGTAGTAGAAAGTAAGAGGATTTCAAATTTATTAGGTCAAATCAAACGAGGATCTGATGTCAAAATGTAAGTTATGACAAGGTACACAGGGCAACCTGTAAGAGAGTAACCAATAGTTCTAAAGTTGAAATTGATTTTTCTTTTTTAAACAAAATAGCAGTAAAAATCAAGAGTCAAGACTAGATTTTTTTTCTTTTCTTTTTTATAAAACAAGGTAAACCCATTAATTAAGTTGAAATTGACTTATACTTTTCATTTTGGTGATAGAAGATGAAACAAAAAGATCTCAAGTTCCAAATTCATATCTTGAAAATTGTCACTAGTGAAAGAAGGTCCAAAAGTCAAACACCAAAAGAACGAAATGTGAAGGAAAAAGAGGACCAAAAATGTCTGAATAAAGAGGAAAGTACTGGTTCAAAGAAGCTCTAAAGAAACAACAAAACCAAGCATCCATTATTTATCACCACCACACAATAGTCTGTGAATATTATAAACATAAGGATGAGTTTCACATTTCTGATCCAACTTGACCATCTGACACAGGCTTCAAAGCTTAATTACCTTATGTTGATTCAAATATTCCTAAAATAAAATATAGGTAATTTCAAACAAATGCATAGATGATAATCATCATAAACCCATCCGTACAACCAAATCAAGAGTAATGAACTTGAAGATGACAGTAACCAAAGTTTCCACAGACTTCATTAACTCATTGCAGAGGAGTTGCTTATTTTGTGTAAAAGATGTCACCTTACCGACACAAACCACTAACTAGATTTACAGACTTGTCATTACTACCCTAAACTACATAAATTTAGCAAAAAATCACCAAATGCCCCAAATTCGGAAAAACAAAAAAATGCCAACAACTTCTTTCCTCTTCTTGCAGCAACACAAAATTGAACTAGTCAGGCAGTGCGCAACAAATGTTCCAGTTATAACCAATAGAACATCCAAATCGTAAAACTGGAAACATGTTACCGTAAAAATGAAAACAAATCTAACACGACATAACAATTATTGAATTCAAAATAACCAACCTAAATTCACCAAGATTTACCAAATTGATAAAAATAAAGGTACCTAGGCTCATACTCCAACACTTCAGCAAGTTTGTTTCCATTCCTATCATTCCATTGTACTTTCCGGCGAGTCTTGTCAGAGTTTCTGGACATGCCACCTCTCCGAGGAGGCAACAAAGCATTGGAATCACTATCATCATCTCCGTTGACGTGATCTTCAACCTTTTCACTCCCCAAAGAAGAAGCCATCACAGGTTTGTGCTTATCCATGATGCAACCATTAACATCCTTGGAATCCATATCCACTAACAACCACACACACGAACGCAGACAAACGCAAAGTTTCAACCCAAAAAAGACTTAGAACAATTTAAGGATTTGAAATAGACCCAGTTGACCCAGTTGACTAAAAAACATGTTCCAACTTCGAAATCTGAAAAAAGATTAAAACTTTGAATTGGAGGAACAACTCTACTAAAGGTCAATGCGTTCTCCACGACGGGGATTGTGGAGAGATCAGTGGAAACGAACAATGGGAAGGGAGAAATGAAAGTGAGAGGAAATCGTTAGACGAGAATCTCAGTGTCAGGAATGGAAATTTATTTTCTCAAGAAATGAGGAAATAAAAATCTCGTTAGAGAGGTCCAACCCGGCATCGGATTTTATTTATATATATTTATTTATAAAATGGGAGAAAATTCCTAGCACGTAAGAACTTGAGGAAATAATAAAGAATGAAGAAATTGCAAAAATAACCTTCACCGTTGACATTCCAGAGTTAAAACGTTAAATGGTAAGGACAAAAATAAAAAATATAAACTTATTTTATTTTCATTATTTCTACTACTTATCGATTGTTTATAATAGTATATACATTTTTTCTTAATTTTTAAAATTAATCCTATACATATTAAAAGATAATTATTTCTAAAGTGAACTTGATTTCTTTGCACCATAACATAAATAAGTTATATATTATTATTTAATAATTTATTATAACATGACCTTATGAATAGCTCAGTTTTAAAATTTTATTTCATAATCTTATATTATTAAATAATATATAGTACCATTTAAAATGAAAAAGAGTAACATTAATTTTGAAAAGAAAAAAAAAGGTTGCGATGTTTCGTAAAGAAAAATGACGGTCGTTAAATTAATGTCGAGATTTATAGGTGTGAATAAAATGTTATTAAAATGGTTGCGATGTTGCCGTCAATCTCATACCAATAGTCCTTTTCCAAGTACAAAAAGTGGCTTTAATTTCAACCTTCAAGATCACATAAACCCCATAAAAAAAAAAAACAAAAAAAACAAATTCACTGAACATAGACCAAATATCCCTATTGCATTAATCCAGAATTTTCTGACCATTGCTTTTGGGTCACTTTTTTTTTCTTTAAATTATTCTCCAAAAAAAAAATATATATATATATATATATAATACGAAACTTTTGAATATATTTAGAATATTTTTATCAATAATTAATACTAAAAATAAAAATAAACTTTTTTTACAGCACTAATATTTTTATGTGAACTCTATTAAGATTATTGCATTTACATTATTATTGATTTTATTATAATTTTATCCTTAAAAAAAGTTTAAGAAGAAAAAATAGATATAAACATTTAATGATTGTAAGATAACTTAGTTTTTATATTAAATCGGTCTTCATAATATAATCTAGTTATTATATTAAATATTATATGTAAGAGAGTTAATGATATTAAAAACCAACTTCATAAAATTCACTTTAATTGCTAAATGTATATTTAATGATGAAAATATGAGAAGTAGGAGTAGAAAGTTTCAAACAATGTTATGTTGTTGATTAATTGGTTAATATGAAGCATAGAAGATAAACATTGGAATATGTGGGAAGGAGTGAGGAAGAAGGGAAAGTCACAGAAAGAAAGGATGATAAAAGGAAGCAACAATGGTGAGTGGAAGAGAGTGGCTGGTTATGTGGGTTTGCTTCAAAGCTTACCAACCATGATTGCAACACTGGACTTGCATTTCACTCAAACCTCACATCCAAAAATGGTTGAGGGTCTCAAACTGTATAACACTTCAACACAAGACAAGAAGAATTCACACAATTTCAGAAGAGAGTGAGACAGTTTATGAGAATGGCATGCATAGACAGAGCATCTCCGGCACTCAACCAAATTCTGCTCAAACTTTACTGGTAAGAAGAGCTTATGTATCGAAGTTCCTTAAGTTCAGGAGCCAGAAAAATTCCTTGTATATTATATGCAAAAACATGGTTTAATTATTAATATACATAAAATGTGTTCTTGTCTTTTCAAATAATTCCATTACTTTAGTTAAGCGTGTGAAATATATGATGTGTTGTGTTGTTGTTAGATTTCAAAGCATATCATATACGATGAAAAACAAAATTGTGTTCGAAGATACTATTTTAAAATAATTAATTTTTTCAAGATTATTAAATGATAAACTTATTTTTAGAAAAAATAAATAAATAAATAAACTTCATTTTTCATATTAACGCCTATTTTATTTTTGGGCCACTTGATTGATTGTATATTTTCTTTTTATTTACTTCTTCTGTAAGACACCATATGCACAGAACATAATGGTTTTATTTTTATTTTTTCTGAATTTCTGATGGGCGTTTAAAATATGTAAAATTTCTTTCACAATATTCATATACACATTTTTTGTAATAATTTCTTGCAAGCTTTATATAAAGTGGAACTCTTTTTTTAGATATGTGTAACAAAGTTGCAACATCCATAAACATGTGCAAATCACGACAATAATACACTTGCTTAAGTGTTAATCCTTGTTAATAAAAAATAGTATTTTAAGTCTTGTCCATGTCATGACAGTGCTGAGAAGCCCTTGGAGATTGATCATCACTTGTATGAATTTGGGTCAGTGGAGTATCATATTCAGGTAAAACTCTTACCTTGTCTCAAAGCTTGCACAATTTTATCACTCATTTTTAATCAACAATAGTTCAGTTCCTTATGCAGAATTAACAAGATGTTTCTAGTAAACCCATGATGTAAACAACTACCTCTCTTCACATAAAATATGAAAATAATTTAGTACATGACAGAAGAATTTTATGAAAAAGAGATTTGCACACTGGAGTACCCTTCATTGCATTATTGTTTGTGTGCAAATCTTTAGATTTGTTAAGGATTTCAAATTGAAATTGCAACAAATGTTATTAAGCATTGATGATTTGTGTTATGGTTACAGTCTCAAGCCTCTAATCCACAACTAGCCTACTTGTCAATATCAATGCCACCTCTTTGCCATGGAGTCCTACCAAATCAACTTTCTTCTAAGACCATTGAAATGGTTAAGGATATATGTCCTAATGTTGTGGAGATTGTAGATTCTACCAGAGAAGGATACCAACTTACTCTAAAGCTTAATCTTAATCAAATTCCAAGAAACAAAGGTTTGTTTTTCTTAATTCCCAACTTGGAGCATGGTTATCACATTCAACTCATTTATATTATAACAATTTATCATGTAATGTGTAAGCAATGACAACAATGGTATTGCATAGAAGAAAAGTAAATGCATTAATGTTTGACTATCTAATTTTTCTACAGATTAGAAATAAAGTTGTGAATTGAAATTAAATGTTCCTCATAATTTTTCAAGAAAGAATAAGAGGGGAGAAAGGGAACTTCATAATATCATACCAGCATATCCTTGCAAACCAAATACAGAACTTGCAACATTTCGAATACTCAAGTAAAATATATTTATTCAATTCAAAAAAATAATTATAGTAGTCCAAAGAATCAAATGAAAAAAAAAAAGAGTATAAAGATGTTATCAACATTCAAATTGATCAGAAAATCAAATATTTGTTTATAAAGAAACACAAATAAACATTGTAGACAACTTGTTAGTAAATGGACAATGATAATCTAACTTTACATTTCAACCTATCTTATAGTGCCAAATTCTTGTTCCAGACTATGAAAAGGTCATTAGGGAGATATCAACAGTATATTCAGTAATTCTGAGTTCACAGTTGAAAGAAATATTATGGAACGTTAACTCTGATGATGCACTTCAAGGGATGTACAAACCCATCAAACTAGTCTACCATTCAAGAGAACCTTTCTTTCTCATCAGGCAGGTAATTCTTCAGTAACTTAATTTTTTAACATGTCATGTCAGACACAAAGAAGAAAAATAAGAAAACAAAGTGTGGAAAGATGTTGCAAATAGAATGAACAAGATTACTAAAATATAGGGAATGCTATCATATAAAAAAAATGTCAGGTGTTTCATGTGTATCAGATCATGTACTCAGGAAGTTAAGAACCTTAATCGAAGGATTGTGAAAAATATGATTACAACAAACTCGGTGAGGTATGACAACAAGTCAAGAAATCGACAATAAATCAACATATTATCATCACTTGTTGATCCTTACCAATTTTTTTTTTCAAATAGTCAACAACATAATAATAACAGATGAAACCTCTTTTCCTGTCATAATTTTTTCGGATTATGACAACTACCTTCAAAGTTTAGTTATATTCCAAAAGAAACAGAAAAATTCAAGAACCAAGTAGCCAAAGGCAATATATTACCAACTTCATGGTCTATAAAAGATATTTGTATACTAAAGCTTTTCCAAATTGATCAACTAATGCATACCACATGCAGCCACAAAGAATCATAGCAGTATTCCCTATTCGTTTCAAGGAACAGTCAGATGTGACTATTGCCACAACTTTCTTCCAGGTTTGTAGGGATAAAGTGCAACCAAGTAATTTATTTTGAACAACTCAATGTGGTTTGAACGCATTTACTTTACCATTCAATGACAGGAGCTTGTGGACGTGGGAAGTTCAGACAAATGGGCCAAGGCACCACCTTGCAACTGGTCAGCCATCCCTCCACCAGAGTTACGAGGAGAAGCTTTTGAGGATTTGAGTACCAATGGAGGGTTTTTCACTTTTGGTATAATGTTATCCTCTAACAATTATCTCATGAACTACTTTCTTACAAACACATTTTTTAAAATTAAACTCTAAACTCAAATAAGAAATCAACAAAATAATTGTTGAGTAAGTTGGATTGAAGGAGTTTGACACTGACAATCTTTTTTATGTTTAATAGATATCTCTTCTCGCCATGTAGAAGGAAATAGGCTAGACAAAACTGTCTGGAATCTATTAAATTTTAATGCCTATGTTAGATACCATGTAAAGGTAAGGTCAATATTATTATTTCTTCTTAAACTCTACTTAGTAAATCACTTCATATTCGATGTTGTGAGTAGCTTTTGACTACAGAGTACCAAAGGTTTTATTCAAAGAAGGATGAGGAAGCGCTTGGAAAGTTTAGTTGAGGTACAGAAACACTTAGTTTGCAATATCAAATTCATTGTTTGAACAAAGATATTCCTATTGATAGAAGTAAGACCTGAGACATATAGTGAGACCTAAATGGGACAAATTGCATGCTTAAAGTACCTACCTAACAACATTTTCTATGCCATAAACCATATTGTTTGCATAAAAAACAGATATCCACCACAAATAACTAAATCTAACTAGAGAAATATTGATCGTTTTGTCTTATATGCAGGTCCTGCACCAAACAAACTCAGAAGAAAATGAACAAACCAAACAACATCAAGGTTTGGTTTCTGCTAAAACATTTCAATACTCAGAACATGCTTCACAAATTAACGAGACAAGTTAAACTATAAACTTGTTTTAGAATTAAAAGTATTCCTTGATGTATTGGAGATTTTTTTAATATACTAGACAGCATACTAGTGTGATAACATATACATGTTCATAGACATGAATGAATACAATATAAAGTAAAAAAAATTAAGAAAGCGAACAGACAATATCCCAATTGTGCATTTACAATTGATTTTCAATGTGCAGTATATAGGTACACAAAGAAACTAGTAAAATCAACAAAATATGTCATCCTGAAACAAAGATGGGGAACATTTGGTAGAAAAATAAAGAGGATCGGTTTCCGACTTAAAATTCATGCATTTACACGATTTCGTCAACGATGGTTGAGGTTCCCAAAATTTTCAACAGGATATACAAAAATAGAGTAGAATTTTGTGCAATTATTGTTTTATGTGATGTATGTATGGAGTTCATAAAGATGCTCCAAGAAAATAAATATTTTATATGGACTTTAGACTATTTGATTGTAAACAAAAAGGAGGATTTTTGTTTGTCTAGACATTTACCTAATTTGTAATGTTGCAAGTGTAATGTTTTTGTATAGCAATCACAATGAAATTTTATACTGAATGTTTTACACAAGATGAGTATAATCCCTTAAAACAGGGGTTCCATTCCATCTAATGTTTGTTTCATTTAAGTATTCAAACAGAAAAGTGAATTACTACAACAGGTTTCTTATCTCAATTTTAAATACTTTCACAAGGTTGTTAAATAACTGTTCTAGTGCTACCAAAAGGCTATAACATGGTGTTTTTCAACCCTCCACCATAGGCAAGTGAAAGAAGACCTTCTATGAAATTGCAATGACATTTAATATGAAATTTTCCCTTTTGCCATCTATTATTGATAATCTTGCATTGAGTCCATAAATTCTCACCACATTCTTTTTTTCTGCATTCATTGTCTGATGGAATATAATTAGACTAGAAGAACACAAGAAAATAACTCAGGCCAAAATATTGACAACCTGGTTTCATGTAGTTAAAAAAATGTTTAGAAACAATTAGACACGATTCTCACTGCACGTTTAGACAGACCTACCTTCACACACCATAAACTAACAAGTGCAATGACGTATCAACATCGTTAACATTTCACTCCATCTCTTGATCTAGAAGTGCCCGCGTCCGATAGCTCACCGATTCAGTCTCAGCTAGCAAAGGCCCTCTTGCCTCCCCATTCCTCAAACTCCGATTACCTGCCAACACACAAAATGCCCCAACAGCTAAAACCATCACCCCAATGGCATGCACAGTGAACAAAAAATGCATCAAAGCCACACCTCTCAACCTATCCTCGTCAAGATCACATTGCACATCAACACTCTCCTTTTGGGACTTCAAAAAATTGATCTTTCCACACCCTTTCAACCCAAAGAAATCAGTGTACAAAGAAAACCCCGCCTGTAATAACCAAGTGCCCTTAAACAGTAACCCACATGATAATAAAAAGTCAGCAAAAAAAGCTGAAGGCTTAACCGCCAAGCAAATACAAGCACCAGAACACACCAGAGTCAACCCTTCCAAAAAACCATATACAGAACCAGCAAGACCTGACACCCCTTTTTCCATCACATAGTACTCCACCAAGAAAACTATCCCACCAGACAAAAAAATAAAACTTTCATCAATCAACGACGTTCCCCCCACGTGTTCACGAACTATGATCGAGACGGTCAATGCCCAGAAGGCCAAAATGACCAGGGATTGTTGGAAGAAGGAGAATTTGTAAGTGGGGTTGCCAGAAAATGAGAAGAAGAGGAAAAACTCAGACAATGAGAAGACGGGAAGAGTTATGAGGAGAGCATAGAGATCAAGGGTCTTCCATTTTGGGTCAGAGAAGTACCAAAGGTTGGAGCGGAAGTGAGAGGGATCGTGAAGGTAAAGGGAAGAAGAAGAAAGTAAGCGGCGAAGGCCAACGGGGAAGAAGAGTATGAAACCAGAAAAATGGGTCGCCAACGATGCCATTTGTAGTGTAGTTTTGTTTGTTAAGATTGTTTTCTTTTTGTCATTGTGTTTCTTTCCCTTCAATTTTTACTGGTAAAAAAAAAAAAGCACATCAAATTATTGCAAATTGATATTCAAGGAATCAAGACTTGGTCCTCGTGTTAGACTATTTCCACTCCAAATTATATAATGGTAATTATTAATGTCCACTATTTTGTATATTTTTCATATATATTTTTCTATCAAAACAGATAAAAAAAAGTCTAATTTAATTTATGAACATGTAAAAAAACATGGAAATCACATTCTAACCTTAAGTTAGATAACCAAGTTATATAGTATTTAATGACCAACTAAAAATGCTCAATAATAAGTTATCATTAAGTTATACAGTTGAGTACACATTTTTTTATAAATTAAAAAAAAAATCATTTTTTTTCAACTAAGTAAATATCCCTTACTCCTTTTTTTTCTTCTTATTTCTTGACCTTATTATTTTTCTATTTTATTTTTTTATATTATATTTAGCATCACTAACATGTTGACAACTAAAAATTATACATTAACATCACCATATTTTAATAGTTTTTTAATATTTGTTTGACTGCATTTAGTGTATAGGATACTAAAAGAACAGTTAATATGAGTGTTTGGATAGAAATCCAAAGTAAGTTACTTCACATGACACATTCACTTTTGTCATTGAGAAGTGTTTGAGAGTTTTTTTTTTTTTTTTTTAAGTTTGGTGATTTTTTTTATTTACACTCATCTAAAAGTTTGATTTTGATGAGATTTAAACTATGATAAAATTTGAAAACAAATTATTATTTTACTGGTTCGGATATTTTTAAAAATAAATTTCAAAATCCAAATTAAGCTAAGCTGATAAGGATGAGTTGGTTTAGTTGATCAATTAGATTTAATTATAAGCAAATATATACATAATTTTATAAAAGACTTCGCATATAATTTTATCATTAAAATAGATAAATAATATTTTTTATTGTAACTTATTAACAAATTATCAGTAATAAATATATATATATATATATATATATAATATAAAATAATTGTGAGAAGAAATTCATTCGAGTTTCAAAGCTACAATTCTTGATGAAAAAAATTTGGATATTTTATTGATGTATATTTCCTATTTCAATGAATGAGATTCTGCTTGCATTTAACTTTTTTTTTTCTTTTTAATCAATAAGTTGTAATTATTTACTTATGTTAAAAGTTATGAAAAACTATCTATTTATCTGCATATATGTTACATGTATTTATTTAACATGAGTATAAATCTAAATTATGTATTATGAATTAATTTTATTTACATAAATTAAAGTTTTTTTAATTTATTAAATTGTGATATATTTGATAAAATGTTATAATATATAGGTTGACTTTTTTTCGTTATATTTTATAGCCATAAAGAATTTCAATGCAAGGTTTTCTGTACTTTTTATACAGGTTATCGGTTTGATTTGAATTTTTTTATTTAATATGATTTGAATATAAATTTAAATAAATATTTTAAAGTTATTTTGAGTTTAATTTATATTTATTTTTAAGTTTTTTTACTATTAAATTATTAGAGATAATTTTAAATTGTTAAATTTATAAAAATATTAAAAAATGTATAGTAAAAAATTCAAAAAATTGTTGTAAATTTTGTTTATATGATTATTATATTTAAATTTTAATTATACTTCATTTTCATAAATAAAATACATAAATTCATAATTAAAATATATTATATTTTAATAAGTACAAATATGTTACATACGTAAATATATTTTTTAATTATTAAAATTGACTTCAAATATATTACTATATTTAAATATAAGTAATAAATTGATTTAATTTCTATTTTTAGTTTAAATTAAACTTAATTATTATGTAAATGGAATAAATATAAACATTAAATAAAGTTATTTTAATTAATTTTCAATTATTATTTTTTTATGAGTTTGATTTTCAACATCTCTAATTTTATAAATTTGTATGTGCATAAAAATTCAATTGTCGAGGATCCAATAAAAATTCCGATAACATTATCGACAACGTTGCACGTGGCAACAATTTTAAATAAAGAACAAAAGACTGGAACTTTTATGTTAATTATCTGAATAAAAATTGAGAAATGATAAATATAAGTTTCTATAAGAATATTATTTATTAATAATTTAATTTTTTTAAAACAAATAACTGAATAAATTTATATTTTACTTATAATTTTTCAATTTGAAATAAATTTAATACATAGTAAAAATACTGTAAAAGAATTTAATAATATTTTACTAATACTTTTTCTTATATCTACCAAATAAATTTTGAGTTGTAAAAAAACTATTAAATTTTATAATATCTGATATTTCTCTTAAAAATGATATTATATATTTTATTTTCGAATTTTAAATTAGTCTCAATGTTAAAATAGCAGATAAATTATAATAAATTAGTTTGGTTAACACAATTTATATATATATATATATATATATATATATATATATATATATATATATATATATAAACTTTCTCTTATGGTAAAAAAAATAGTTTCACACACACCAAGACTTGACTTGACACATAAAAAAAAATATTGATTTGAATGAGTTATGTTGGATTTGTATAATTTCTTTTTGAAACTCAATCAAAATGATTTGGATTGATTTATCCAATTTAAACATTTAAATAGTAAAAAATTCAAATAAGGATAGACAAATAAATATAGACTTTTATTTAAAATACAAATGAGAAAGAAAATGAAGGATATTTCAAAATATCAATTTGTAGAGAAAAAATAATTACTTTATATTGTACCATATCAATTTTTATAGATAATTGTTGTAAAAAAATTAAAGTAATTTAAAAATTGATTTTGTAATTACATGATCCATAGCAGGATGAAATTGCTTTATGTTATGAATTCAAATTTTTTTTTTTTTTTATGATTGACACTTAAATAAATAATATTTGATATAAAAAATTGTTTTTATTAATGCATAAATAGAAACAATTTGGACGGTGAAGAGTAAAAAGAAAGAAAACGTGTTAAGTAGTTGAATCCTTATGGTGTGTACACCTGGTCTCAAAATTCTTGAGGTTGAAAATGATTGCATGTTTCATCGCTGCCATTTTGCCACCTAACTTCAATCCAACATCACCAACAAAGTACCATGTTTTTACTCATCTTCATAACTAGAAGATTTATTTGAATTAATATTTTAATGATTCAGATAATTTTGTTAAGATTAATATTATTTATTTTATGGTTTTATTAAAACAATATTTAGTATGTATAAATTATTTGTAATCTTAATTTTTAAGTGACAATGTGGTTGGATGTGGGAATTCATGGACAAAATGCAATTTTGCTACTTGGTTTTGGTCAAATTTTTGTTTCAAGACTATTTTGTAACAAAAATAATATTCCAACCAATATAATTTCTTTTGTCACAAAACCTTTTCACACGTTTGTTAATATTTTCGCATAGAATTTAATTGCAATGCGTTGCCACTCAACATTTTCATTCAATCACATGCTTTTATATAATAAAAAGTATAAACTTTTGTAATAATTACCTTAAGAATAATGTTTAAAATAGTTTTTAATCTTTAATTAAAATTAAAGTCTTCTTACAAAGGAGTCGTGGAGACTTAAAACAAGATCAGCAAATACTAAAGTAATTTACTCAATTTATTAATAAACAACAAGTTCAGATAAGAACAAGTTGTTTTTGTTCACTTAAAAATTGATTGGGGTTAGAGGATGGTCCTGGAAAATACGTGTAACCCAGCAGAATTTGAGATTTAGATCTTCTCCAAATAACTAGGATCATAAAGTAGAGTGGAATTTTTTAATTAAGCACCAAAAAAAAAAAAAACTAAAAAATCCAAGCCACCAATATGTGTGGCTCCAAATGCTTCTATGTTGTGAATCACACTAGAGTCCAATTCATAACCATTGGCTCTCCAATTTACACACAAATATCCCTTCCTTCACAAGCACAATAAAAGCCATTAGAACCATCTATCTCAGGCTCCAACAAGAGGCTACAAAGAAAGCACAAAACCTCTACTTTTATATTCATACAACAAACCACGTACAGTGAAAGAGAGGGAAGAAAGCATAAGCAAATGGCTACTTCACTTTCTGCAACTGGGTGTGTTGGTTCTTCCTTCTATGGAAGTTGGGGCACTTCAATTGTTGGGGAGGACTACTTCATGTTGGCCAAGTCAGTGCCATCACAGGTTCGCATGGGGAGGGGAAAGCCAGTGAGATTGCAGCCAATGATGAAGAATGTCAATGAAGGGAAGGGTATCTTTGCACCTCTTGTGGTGATCACTCGAAACATCGTTGGCAAGAAGCGTTTCAACCAGCTTAGAGGCAAAGCGATTGCTCTACACTCCCAGGTGAAATTCAATGTTCTGGTCAAGAGTTGGTGTTTGCTGTGATCACCCTTTTGCTTAATCTAATGATTTTGTTTGTTGGGTGGGGGGAATTTGAACTTGGAGACCATGTTTCATGTTGTGTCATGAATTCTTGTGAATCGGGCTTAGTATGCTATTTGTGTGATTTGTCTGTGTTTCAAGCATTGTTAGGTTGAAGGATTTGGAATCCGTTGGAAACAGAAGTACAAGTCGAATCTATAAAAGAGTGATGAAATTTGAAACAGAAAAAACTTAGACGCATTATTATCGAAATAAATCTTTAAATCTGATTGGAAAACAGTATCAGCAACACCAATTGTACTACATCTTAGTTTTGTAGGTTTGGAAGGTTGAAAATAAAAGATTGGAGAACAAATGAATTTGGATCCATTTTTCCCACCTTAAATGCCCTTTATGTTCATTAGAAAACCGTAATTTTGTCATAAGGGGATCATGATTGCCATTTGTCCCACAGAAAGAAAGGCATTCAAGATTTGATTTGAGGGTAAAGAAAAAGAAATTGAGAATATTGTTCAAGTAGCTGGTTCAAACTGTTGTTGGCTGTTATTTTTGTACTGGTAACTTTGATGCAAGCATGAAACGTGTTATATATTTTTTGTACTGAACTTTTACATTTTGAAATGTTAGGTGATCACGGAATTTTGCAAATCAATAGGAGCAGATGGAAAACAGAGACAAGGGCTGATCAGGTTGGCCAAGAAGAATGGAGAATGGCTTGGGTTTCTTGCATGATAGGTTAACAAAATGTTCCCCATATGTTGTAATTACCATGTGAGAAAGTATCAAGTTTGAACTTGATGGTTTTCAATTGACAGAAGAATGTAAACTAGGAACAAATCTCTCTCTAGTTGTGATTTTTCATTCTCAAGTAATGTTCTCTTATTTTGTCCTCTAGATACATGAAATATTATAAAACCAGAGGTGATCTATATATCAACGGTGATACAATAATGAACAAAGCAATGTCATTCTACAGCATATTTTTCACAAATATTTAGTTGCCTTTTTGTGAACCATTTGAGTAAAAAATTTATCCAATTTCAACTTTGACTATCCTAAAACTCACATCATTTTTCCAAATTATGTGCTTAGATACTGCTGGATATGCTGATTTCCACTTTGTTGTAGATCAGATTCTACAACACCTCGATTATGAACAAATGTACTGCGTTTTAAACCAGATTCAGATATTAATGATGCATTGGTTCTATCTTGGTGTATAGTTTGTATATGAAATTAAAGCATAACCAAGAGGTCTTGCAAATAATCTTGTTTTGACTCTAGCCTCCCATAGTCATGTAACAACGAAGAATTCCTTAAATTTTTTTATTTTTTGAGTCATTCTTTCATTAGAGTTAAAGCTTCACCTTGTTAATTTATTGAAAAATTTGACAAAAACACTTGAAGGATTACATTGAAGAGAAGCAGATACACAAGTCATTGAGGTTCAGAAGTGGCAGCTGCTACATATTGTGGTTTGCTTCTTAGTTTTCTCTTTAGATCATTGATGAACCAAGAAAGAAGCCTTTGAACAAGATTGGGTATTAAACCTCCATTTCCAAAATACATGCTAAGAGTTGAAGCTATTAAATGTTAGAGAAAAAGTATGTAATATGCCATTATATATTTTTTGAAAATTCTTTAGTAAAGACGCATCATAGTATAGGGTTTATCCTTTAAATAATGCTGGAAATCGAGAACAAGGTATATAACATGTTACATAAGTTTCTCCACATTAACATTTAGAAAAAAAATAAAAAAATAAAAAAATAAAAAAGAGAATCTAAAATTTCATTTTTTTTAAAATACTCAGCTAAACATGTCCATATTTCCGTACTATGATAGATTTCTCAAGTGTGTATTGTATACGTCTATTGAATATGTGTTTATTTTAAGAAGATCCCACCTTCAAAGCATGTTGCACGGGATTCTTACTCTCATCTTGATTCACGTTCAATGTGATCTGACATAAGGGCAAATACAGCTTAAATCATTAAATAGTGACCAATTTCTTTATCGGTTGAGAAAAAAAAAACATTTATTTTCGTGAATTGATGATACTTAAAGAAATTCGAACAACATAAAGTAAAGCTATATTAAAATATTAAACTACATTTAAAGATATGTTTTACTAAATATATTTAATGTTTATAAAATATAATTAACCATATTTTCAATTTTAAAATTTTATGTTAGTTTCTATAGAATTTTATTTATTAATTTTCTAAAATTAAACAATTTTGATGAAATATTAATGTCATTTGATTACAATAAATGTTTCGAAAGATATATTAATAATAAGTTTGTGAATCAATTTTAATACACTGTCTTATCTATCACCTTTTGTTAACAATTAAATAATATATTAACAGTAAATTAAATTTGTTCAATTTAAAAAAAATGAAGAATCAAATCAATAATTAATTCTATAAAGATTAGAATTACATTTTCACAAAAGAATAAATATCAAAACTAAATTTAAATTGAAGCCCTTCAACTATTATCATTGTAAAAAGTTCATTACATTTAATGAAATTCAATTTTGAACACAACCACGTTGTAAGACAGTGAATTAAAAATAAATAAAAAATGATGAATTGTATAAAAATATATCTCGAATGGAAAAATTGCCCAAGGTATTATCTGATGCAGTATAAAAAACTTTTTCAGAAGATCTCAATCAGGTCAATAATAAGATAATAATTAATCAGTAAGTAATCTTTACAAATTCCAAATTATAATGCAAGTAAAAAAGTAGAGTAATCCATAAAAAAAAATTTGTTAATCCAAATTTCAATCACTAAACTAATCCGATATATATTTTAAATCACTACTTTAGTGGTCCACAAATTCTGTGTTAAAGAGGCTGATTTAGTGATCAAAAGATATGAAAAATTAATTTAAGTGAAGCTACAACTTTAGAATACAATTTTCTTTTCACTAAAATTATAATTAAAGAAAATAAAAACTCACCTATTTCCTCCATGTCGGGTTTACATAATCATCGCCCTTGCGGCTTCTCATCATCGTACCATGTTTCAAATATTTAAACTTCCACAGCAAACAATACTCAACTTGTTGAAGCTCGAGTTCATCTTAATTTTAGCTCAGGGTTATACATTGAACAAAACAATAAAAAGGTTTACTTCTCCATTATAATTGTACAAGCAACACATCAAATTCATCCTAAACTGAACTCCACATTTCAAAATTTGAAACTTTTAGAATGTGACATGAAAAAACTACAAATGAACCCTGCAGAAAAATTCGACAGACCATTTCAAAAATTAGAAGAGTATAACAGTATCAACACCCAAAAGTGGGGTGAATGAACAAAAATAAAACTAACCCCCCACCAAAGAAGTGGGATGTTCTAGTACATATGACACATGATGAAGATATCAATACTACAGCCTCGCCAACACAAGTGCAAGAAGAAGCTCCAGCAGTGTTTATACGGTATATCGACCCTTTGTTGCTCCTTTGGTTCTAGAATCATCCTATAAGAATTAGAGACGTAAGAATCATAGATATTGAAGTATTCCATTAGCCAATCAAAAATTTATGAGCACAGGTTTTACATGAAAGTTGTATGTTATCTTGTCGTTAACATCAATGATTTCCTTCCACTTCCTTCCAATGCCCATCTGCAAAATAAGTCAATGACAACATGGTTCATTTCAAATGTCATGCTGGGTGTTCGACGAGTCAAAAAGATATACACGACTTTCTTGGCAAGGAATATTGAACTTGCTTAGAATAGCTCAATTACAATTCTACATCTTAGACAGACATATTTACACATTCCAGATTCCCAGTAAAAGTAGAAAGATGTGCATGAATGTACAACCGATCATTTCTAGCAAAATTTCACTCGTATCAAGCACACCCCTTTATTTGTATCTGCCATTGTCACTCCTCCAATTCACCTATTTCCATTTTAGTAGTAAACCTATCTAAAAATGACAGACCGTTGACCATGGATCAAGTTTTGTTCCTCTAAAACCATAAAGTCAAATATAAGTTTGTTCCTTTGCAGAGCCTTTTATATAATGTCACCGTACACACAAGCATCCCTAGAGTTATCATTATCACCACATGGTAAAACCCTGAAAAAAGCTATTATCAACATCCAAAATCTATTTAACCATTACCATCTAATATCTTCCTAAAATAAAGTAAATAATCCAAAATTTCTAAAAACATAACCAAAAGACTTTTTAGCCCAGAATAACTGAACCTATAATCAAAATGAAATAAATTTTGTAAATAAGAATGTGAATGAATGCATGTGATATTGCACAACATAGTCCATGCCAAAACATTAAAAACAAAAAAAACATTAAACAAAAAATGGATATCTGGATAGAACACAAAAAGAAATAGTTGACAGAAATTCCTTCATATTCTGTTGTGGTAGGAGGTAATCATAATATAAGTTGCAGGGGAATGTGCCAAAGAGTCACATTGAAGGAGCAGGATATTGTAATTCAGCAGAACCTGTTATCTGGTTAAAGGGAAGCACAGTCCTCAGGTGAAAAAAGGTTGGTTCATCTGGGAGTAATGAAAGCTTATTTTGATGATTTGACATTTTAGTTGACAGTGGATGGTGAGACCAGACTGCTTAAAGCGGAACATGAATTAATAAAAACCTAGGCATCCATAAGGGAGAATGACAGAATCAAGGGCATGGATTCATTTTTTAGCTAAATCATTATTGAGCGAACTGTGTGAGAGATTGAAGTGGCAGCATCCATACAGGGCAATTTCAATAAGTATCAAAATGTCTTTCATGCAATAGTCATGAGACCAAAGGCTCAAATTCCAAATTCAAGCTAGTACCTTATGGTAAAGGGTATATTTATAGCCACAATGGCGGCAATTATGTGTCTGAGACAGGACCGTGCAATAGTGCTGAAACCAAAAAGGCAGGGAAGAGTATTGATAATATACAAGTGTCTTAGCTTTTTTAAGAATCAATTATGTGCATATTACAAATTTATTCAGTTTTTACATTGCAACTGCTGTCTTCAGTGTAGCAGCTGTTCGCAAGCTATGCAACTAACATATTTTCTGGGGTGAGTGCTTCACATCACATTCTGCCACTAATTACTTTGAGAAAAATACTGAAGCAAATAAAATGTAGAGTTGTGCTTATCTATCATTTATGCCTTGCAAAGGAACTACAACAATGACAAAAATACTGCAATGGAGAAGAGAAGGAAAGAAAACAATACTTAAGTTTCTTCTTTAATAAGCAGATAATACACTGGATTTGTAATAGCAAAACATCAGCAATGAAAGTGTGATACGTAATTTAAATAAATACTTGATGCATTTCTATGAAGAGTCTATCATCTTCAACTCTCTTGAACCTTAATCCCTAAAAAATGGCCTATTCTAAGACAGTGAAAGCCTTAGAGATAGGACCATATTGACTGATATTTTCAACATAAGAGAAAGTATACAATCAATTCATAACTTCTATTTGATGTTTCAAGGCCTTTATTATCTTGATTCTACAATAGGAAATCATATGCAGACAATATAACAGAACATTAACATACGTTGCAATTGCAACTAGCAAGTATCATTTCAAAGATAATAACAAACCTGAGCAGCCTCATTTGCCGCTGTCTTTGTCCACAATGAAAGTTTGTCTTGCCACTGGCGCACACTAGCAACCACACCGCATATGTCCTCAGCATCCTCAAATTGCTCCCCAATCAACGCCATCAGCTATTCGGAACAACAATCACAAATAAACACCAAAACTTCCCATATTCCTTAAAACCCAAAATCAAAACAAGCTGGCATAAAAAATTTACCGTTTCAAGCCACATCTTATCAAGGTTAACCTTCCTGCTGCTGTTGCTAGTGACTGTCCACTTTCCTCCATTGGCACACTCAGGGTCTTCCCACTTTGGTTCAACCCCAGTCTTGAACAAGTGAAAATCCGTATTGTTTTGCAACTTACTGGGCTTAAATATCTGATCATACAAACTAAACCAGCATTTTCCAGATCAAAGTCATTTCTCCCAATAGTCTACCACCGAACCATAAATCAACAACATTCAACTCATTCTCCAATGAAATAATACCAAGGATTAAATATATTTGGTCCTTGTAAGTTTTCTTAGATTTCCATCCCTCGAAAATTTTAAATTATAAATCACAATATATATATATATATATATATATATATATATATATATATATATATATATATATATATAAATAACATGTAGGGATTTAAAAAAAATTAGAGGTGTTACATAATACTCAATATCAAATGGTGTGATTTTCAATTTTAGAGGAATGAAAGAAACAAAATATACTTCAAAGTGAACAAAACCAAAACTTTCTCATTTTAGGGGAACTTAAAACATATCTAAGCTTAATAATAACGAAACATAAACAACCATAAATCCTCATGTTAGCAACAAAAGATCAAGCCCTTTTACGGTTTCTCTCCTAAGATCCATAAAAAATAAATTTCTTTTAATTAATCAGCTGCATCAATCAAACCCGTAACAAGAATTCATAAAACATAAGATTCCAGATTGCATGCTCGGATTCCGTTCTTCTTAAAAAAACCATAAGATTCCACGCAAAAAAAAATGAAAATTGGGGAAAAGAAAAAGGGATAAGGAAGAGAAGAAATTTACCACCAGAACTCTTCAACGGTGTCGAAAGTGTAGACCTTGCGAAGAGAGGTTCCCCAAGCAGCGCCCTGTTTGGGTTTGGATTGATTGTCGCACCAAAACGTCCATTTCCTCTCCAGCTTGTGCTTCTGCCCTGCCTCCGGTGCCGGCGCCGCCGCAACTACTTCCTCGCTTGTTGCCATTTTTCTCTCTCTTTCTCTCGCAGCGACGCTTAGAGTGAGCTTATGCGTTCAGGGCTTTGTATTTGTTTCGACCCAACTCTGGCCCAAAAGCCTAATAAATAATCTCTGCTTGCTTTTCAAAAAATATATAAAACATATAATATATAAAATTGTGGGTTACACAAAGTTCATATTTCCATAATAATAAAGACTACTAGTTAATTTAATTTAAAAAAAAACTATATTTTTTTTCAAACAACAAAATAATATTTTCCAAACTAGTGATGTTGCTGAAAAAAAAGCATTTATGAGATATTAGCAACGTATATAATGTGTAATGCTTTAAAACATTTTAGAGTTTAGTATAGGATGAAAAAATTGTGTATAATTTCCCAAACCTTCAACATATTTAGTGTAGTTTTGTCATTAATTTATACATAAAAAATATTAAAATATCATATGAAATATATTACTTTTATATGTGATGGGTTGATACGATAATTTTTTTATTGTGATTAATTGATTAGTTGCAAAATAGTCACTGTTATTAAAATCGGAAAACCAAAATTAATAAAAAAGAAGATGGAAAAGACTGGATTGGATTGATATTTTAAAGTTGTTCTATTTTGTTTTAATTTAAAATATTTTAAGGAAATAAAACACACATTTGAAAATGGTAAATCGTTGAATGAAACTAATAAAATGTTGTACTTATGATGTGTTTGTTTGCGCATTACATATGCATAATATTGGGTCTTTTTCCATCTTTCAGACAGATAAACGTAAGTTGAAACAATTTTGGACCCAAAATCAAATTCCAGAACATGAAACAACAAGTTGTGAGAAACTTTATTTAAAATCACATTAAGTAGTATTTTTACGTGATTCTATCTAATTCAATAATAATACACTAAACATATACTCTCTCTTATTTATTTTATATATTCTTTAAAATTTTCTCACACAATAAAAAATAATAATTTTCTCAATTTTATTCTTCTTAATTGTTGTATATTCAAACAATTCATAATTATATCTTACTACAAGTACATATTTTCATTAATACATAAGATATTGAGGGGTGTTCTCTCCCATATAGTTTGTAGCTTGTAATGAAAATAAAATCTTCAATGACATAAAAAAAATGGAAGCAATAATAATTAATTACTAGGTAAACTAAAATTAGACTTGTGTTGGTGAAAAGGAGAGTGAGAGGTTGATCCTTGTTGCTTGAATGAGAATGTGTAAGATATTAACATTACTTAAGAATCACTGATTGAAACAAATTATTTTCTTAATATTATGCTGTAAATGAAGAAGAAATGATGCAATCACAATGAACAATGAAATGATACATATTAGGCAACATAGTACATCGGATTTGGTAGTTTAAATGCCCTTTTGGGGCTTGGAATCCCTTCAATGCTACTGTATTGGTCCCCAAGAATGCCCCAAATGCGATAACCTTCATTTGTTATTTGCTTTCTCGCGTCAGATTTATACTTTTGCACTGATGCCAATTCATTTGCAGGATCTCTGCATAGAAAGAAGAATGAAAGAAAAAGATAAACATTTAGCCTAAAATTGAGGACTATTGAAAGAAAAGAAAGATAATGTGGAAAAGGGTGAAATAGCACTCACCTAAAGACAATTTTAGTCCAACCATAATAACCAACTTTGACAAGGTTGTCAACTGTGACTGATCTGAGATGCTCCTTCCTTGAAGTAACCAGAAGGATTTGCACACCTCTGGATTTGAGTTCATTGTAAAGCTTCAATGAATGATCAAGAGCAGGTGCATTACCCTTTTTCATCCATTCTTCTAGAGATGTCACATTCAGTTTCCTTCCCCTATTATCCATCACCATTCACAATGATCATGAGCAAGCAAAGAAGATCAAGTAAGAACAATATAGGGTCACAAGAAACTTATATGAGAAGTTGATTCTGAGTTACAAATGGTTGGGTTAAAACAACTTCAGATAACTTTACCTTCAATACTGAACTAACTTTTAAGAATCAAACATATCACGTTCAAAACAATTTTAACTAAAATCTACTAACAAGTTTAAGTTAGTGTTAATTTCTTTCTAAAAGTACTTTCAAACTAAAAGATACAAAAAGCTCTTTCTCTAAAAAGTAGGTTTAAACATTCAAAAACACTTCTTAAAGGGTGTCTAAAGACTCAATCAAAGACCAATTTTACAAATGTTCATCTGAACACATACTATAAGGCCAACTATCATGATATGGTATGTAGATGAAGACTGAAATTTGGAATTACCCATATTGATTATTCTTGTAGTAAGGAACAGTTGAAAGCAGGGTATCATCAATATCAAAAATCCAAGCATCCAATCCATCTTTCTTCAGATTACAGCTTGTGCTGAGATAAACCAAACACTCATCAGTTGCCCTCTGTGAGTCCACCTTGTACTGTGTGGAAGTGACATATTTCCCAATGTACTCAATGCACTCTTCAGGCACAACTTGGAATTCTCTAATGTTGTGCAGCTCCACATTCATCCTCCAACTCTCACAATAGTTCTTCAAGCTGATCTTCAATCCATCATGTGTCTGCAGCTTCAGTATGTTCCAATCAGCAGCAGCACCTGCTAGAGGAACCAAAAGGCATGTGAAAACCAAACACCACCAAAGTGCTTTTCCCATTTTTTTCTTAACAAAAACTGCATGCAAGGAGAATATGGCATTTAATGGAACAACAACTCCAATCATTCCCTTTTAAAAAGTGCTTAAATTTTATGTATGCAAATTTCAATGGTTTGAAAATGTGACCAAGTCACATGGGTCTGATTGAATGTGGTTGCCACTAAACTTGAGCTGCATCATGTCACATGCTGCAATAGCTGGCAGCATACCTAAACTAAAGAAAATGTCAATTATGAGGAAGGACATGTCTATGTGTTTCATTTGAAAGTCTCAAACTTTATTGTAAAAGACAACATTAGAGTGTGTCTGCTTTCACACGACAAATGGGATTATATTTTGAATACACAAAAATATATTTTTACCTCATTTTTGGTATAACAAAAATATAAAAGTGTTTAATGTAAATAATAATGAAAAACTTCATATTGGAAAATCAAAATAAAATTTATTCCAAATTTTATAAATAAGAATATAATTAAATCTAAAATTTGATAGAAAATATTATTTTAATGATTACTATAAACTTACATTAATGGTAATTGAAACTATAACTTATGAAAGAATATATGTAAACAAATTAATTATATACCATAAATTTTATTTTCAGAAAATTAAAATAGAAAATTTTATTCATTTCAAAAACATAATTGTAATAACTTAGTGATTTAATATGATCATTTACTATATCTTATCTTTATCAAAACAATTAAAGAGATTGTTACATGCCACAACGCTTTTAAATGGTTGGGCTCAATCATGAAAATGTTAAATAACTCATAAGTTATGGTTTTTTAACATTTAATTTGTTTTCAAATTAAAATATTAATTCAAAATTTTAATTAAAACAATAAGATGATTCTTATTTGTAACTCAACCATATCCTATAAAACAGATAATAAATTACAAGATGGAAGTGATTATTACAAGATAACATTTTTTTAAGAAAATTATAATAAATACCCAAGTAACTAGGTTTCTTATCTCCCTATAATAATACATGTTTCCTTCATCATGCTCACACGGTATATCTTCAAACTGAAAGTTATATAAATTAAAAAATTAATAATAAATATAAAAAACAAGTTTTTAACGAAAAGAAATAGAACACTTTTTTAATGTATTACTAGATTGATTATTAAATGTTTTTTAATTAATTTATAAAACATATATTTTTATATTCAAAACATATTCTTAAATCAAGAAAGATTATTATGTTAATAATAGAACAAACAAGAAAAAAATAATCATTAAAAAAGATAGGGTAACATGTAAAATAATAAAAGTAAAGAATTTAATTACAATCATCATACAAATTTATATTCATATTGAATTATTATAGTACGACGCATTCTTTCAAAATCAATAATTTAATATTAAAAAGCATCTTAATTATTTAACAGAAATATAACAATTATATTAATTCAAATAAAACTTAAGTTAAATTTATCAAATCACATTAATACTAATTAATCAAATGGTTCACTAAATATTAATTTAATCTAATTAAATTAAATTAAATCAAATAAATATAAATTTAATATGACTTATTATATCTACATGAGGTCACCTACGAGGTTATTAATTTTATGATAAAATAAGTTGATAGTTTAATTTAATCTATTTTTCTCTTGATCCGTTAAGGATAGACAGGGATTAACTTATTAATTTTTTTAAATAATATTTATTTATTTAAAATAACATTTATAATTAAAAACATTATATTTTTATATTATATTATTAAAATATATAAATATATTATAATTTACGTTATAAATATTATTAATTAAATATAAAATAATTATAAATATATATTTTAATGCATAAATATAATTATTTTTAATTTATTTAATAAAAATATTAATTAATAAATAAAAATTAAAATTTATTTATATAATAAAAGGTATATTTCTAAAGAATATATATATATATAAAAAAATTATTGAGCGGCTAGCCCGTGATTCTGCTTTTTGACGGGTGGCCCGGTTTGCGATCGTAGATTCTCTTATCGGAATTGAAATTGAAGAGACACTTTGTCGGATTTGTTATTTTTAATTAATTAAAAGAACGTAAAATTTCCGCATCGGTGGCTATTGGAAAATGGATGGAATACAACTGTTCCGATTGCGTTGGCTTCCCACGGCGAAGCCACGTCAGCACCGCGCATGCATCTCAAAATATAAATAAAATGATTTATTTGCCTAGAGTTTCAAGAAAAGTAAGTACACTTGACGAAGAACAGAGTTTCCATTGTTGTGATTTGGGTTTTTGAAGCTGATTTATGGTATGTTATAATATTCAAAACACTTATATTCTTCAAGAAGTTTCTAGTTTTATCTTCGAACCTGATGCTGGTATTGTAGTGTAGAGAATGTCTTAAAAGGTTTCTCTATACCTCCCATGACCAGCTACATTATTATCCCCAACCTTACCCTAACCAGGTGCTTACTTTTGTATACCATCTTGTCAAGGTTGGCACATTTTCGTTTTTTTTTATTATCATTTTGCATAATTGTGTTTTATATGGTACCATTTTATAGGAATGCTTTCCGTAAATAATAAATATGATAAACTTCTATCTATTTTTTTTTTCTGCTTGTTCCCAGATTCAATGAGGTATTCTCCATATCTTAGTATTATGGGTGGTGTGATGAGTCTGAAAAATTAATGAGTGTTTGCTTGGGTTTTTTCACTCTTTAATTTAAATATTGATTAAAATGTCTTTGTTTTTAAACATTGTTATTGTATAAGTACATCTATTGAACATATATTCGGATTTATACTCTTCTCTCTGACGATTGATATGTTTGTGCGTTTAGGGTAAGTGTTTTGAGTTGTGCTGCATTGGATTGATCGGTCTGGGAACAAACCAGTTCGATTTTATTCAAAATAAAACTATTTTAGTTCAAATAAACTCAATTGGATCCAATTCAAATAAAATGGGTCCCCACCTGGTTCAAATAAACTCAGAAAAAAAATAAATATATAATTGTGTCAAAAAGTTATCATTATTATGAGAAAATTTTCATGCTTTGCTTCTATTCTTTAATTCTAAAAAATACCCAAACAAACGATAAAAGAAACCAAAACACAATATAGTTAGGAATAAAGGAGGCTCAGATTCGCCTTTTCTCAGACAGGAGAGAAAATTGCTTGTGCACAGGCTGCGTCAACAGCATCTGTGCAAAGGTAATTCACACAGATACCAAGTCACCTAGCCAGGACACAGCTCTTAACTCATATCTGGTCTAATTGCTGAAATAATCATCATTGCCTTGTTATAAGAAGAATGAGAAGAAGAAGAATTGGAAAAGGCAGATACCACAAGAAAGAAGTAACAAGGGTATGTTTGTGTGTGTGTATGAAGGAGGATAGCTGTTAGGTAAATTCAAATATAATGATCATTGGCTTACGCAACAACTTAGAGAGGGCAACAACTATCAAGACAACCTTCTCTCAAAGTGTGGAGCCTCATACTTAAACTAATAAATAATGAGTGTAACCCTAATTGCAGGGTTTCCGAACAAGGCTCAGATTCACCTTTACTCAGGCAAGAGACAGAGAGAAGAGCCTCACCATGGCTGCATCATCAGTGAATTACCTTGCCAGGACTCCGGCTCTTACTCAAATGTCCATTTTCTGAACTAAATGATGAAACAACATCACTGCCTCCCTTCTGTCCACTCTCTAGAACAAAAAGAAAGTGAGTCAAAACATAATTTTGTACAGTTCTATAACCGAGGGATGCAACTGGCTCTGTCCACTCTCTAGAACAAAAAGAAAGTGAGTCAAACATAATTTTCTACAGTTCTATAACCGAGGGATGCAACTGGTCTGCAATACAAGGCTAAAAAAAATGCCCAAAAACCAGAAACATGAAATGGATAGAAATGGAACTCTATAAGAGAATATTGTTAATGAAAGAAATGTGATGATCCTAGCAAAGAAGGAACCAGAGCGATGCCTCCTCAGAAGAAAGTTGATTCTGTCAAAACCTCATCACTCTCCCATATTGGGCCAGTGGCAGTTCTTACTTCTTACAAGGTTCCTATTTAAGTTGTTCACAAACAATTATCCAAACAAAAAATTAAGAAAAGACAAGAATTGAATTAATTCTAATTCCTGTACATTTTGAACTTATACAAATTTTGACATAGCGATGAAAACTAGCTTAAACATTTCAATTATAGAGAATTGTAAATTAACAGAATCATAACATGGAATCAAGTTATTATTGGATAACAAAAAAGCTGAAGAGGTATATGGACCTCGTACTTGTAGAGCCCAAATGGAGCAGATATGAGCATGACAAAAAGGCCATCACATCTGTAACGATGGACTCCGTTAATTTCCCAGACTTGTAACTGTATCAACCATAGCTTGTTGAGGAGGATACCTGACTAATGTCTGGAGACAGTAATGATATCCAATTGAGTAAAGTACGACTTATTTAGGGAAATATGTCAACATATGAACTAAGCCTTTCAAAAAATTAACACATTTTTATTGGTAGAGGAAATGCACACTAACAAAATCCTAGAAGTACGTAGTGTTCAGACTCAAATGTGTAGAGCCCCAATGGAGCAGATGTAAGCAAGGAGAAAAACATCACATCTGTAACGATGGACACATAAATTTTCCAGACTCGTAACTGTATCAACCATTATATATGTTGAGGAGGATACCTGACTATTGTCTGGGGACAAAAACTATCTAACAGAGAACTAAAAATCTTCAAATGTTAGAAAAAGATAAGAGAGATGAAGACCACAAAACTATTCAGTATCATCGAAACTTTTCGTTATAGATTGTATTCTTTCAGACAGTCCATTTTACAAAATGAACAGAAATTTCATGATCAAAATCACAAAATAGAAGAAAAACAGAAAAAGCCCAAACCTCGACAGGGATGAGAAACAGAAGCAACAACTCGGTAAGGGTATGATAGGATATAATGATCTGGCCTTGAGAGGTGCAGAGAAACTGTCAAAATATAATTTACACACTACATTACCGATAACTTCTTTTCTAAAGTCACACTTTGTTCAGTTACCTTTCAATAAAAAATGTCAACAGAACACAAAACATGATTGATCATAAAGAACAAAAAATACGGAAAGAAAGAAACAATGTACCGAATAGCGAAAAGTAAGATCCCATGTGCGATCCAACTTGATATATTCGATAACGTGCATCGATCTAGCTGGTTAAATATACATCAAGCTAGCATATCCTCATGAATAATAGGATATGTGCAGCTCAACCAGCAAAATTCGAATCCTCCAATTTCAGCAAGAAAGGAACAAGTTCTAAACCCACTAAAATGCATTTGCCAGAACAAAGTAGGAAATCATGAATAAAAACACTAGAAGTACGGACTGTGAACTACAGCAAATTAAACTTTATGCTCCTCCATTCCAATAGATACATCAAATCATCTTATAAAAATAATTTAGCACGCAGATAATGAAATGTATGGAAGTTATGCTATAGTAAAATTAACATAATGAGGGAATTATCTACAAAGAAAATGTGGGCACTATCCTTCTTGGCAATGGCTTGTGCTGTCTTACAGCATTAACTTCAGGCGATACCTTCTTCCTTCACAAGCAGTAAAAAATGTTGAAAAAATCAGCAGACTGAAATGTCATGAAAACCAACAGTTATGTCACCCCAAACTTCATTTCATACGATATGAAAAATTCAACCCAAAGGGAAACAGTAAACGGTAAAATTTTTCATCTTTGTTATCTTAAATGACCCACTATCGCTGCAATGCCAAGAGAAAATGGGTTGATGCCACAAGATCTATAATGTTAAAGGAGCAACATTATAGAGAAATTCATGCCAAGCAAACTTCATTTCACGCAATGGATTTATAGGAAGCAAATAAAACATAAAATTAAATAAGCAAAAAAGGTTTCATTGTCGCCTCTTTTCTTGAATTATTGTGTGCTGCATAGACAGTGAACCCGGGTTGGCAGAAAGCAAAAGAGAAAAATTTGAGATGGCGGAATTCATGTATCGTAAAGTAACGGAGAACATGAGAGTGGAACAGGGAAGGGGGAACATGGATGCAATCAAACCTAGCTTCGATATTTTGTTGAGCTGGGGTAACAAGAAATGCAATTAGGGTTTTTTTGGAGGGAATATTTATAAAGAGCGGAGTTGAATTAGGGTTTTGGCTTGGAGACCGGTTAGGTCAAAACGGGACGCATTTCACAACAGGGGTATAACGGTCTAGATAAAAAAAAATATAAATATATATATATATATATATATATATATATATATATATATATATATATATATATATATATATATATATATATATATATATATATATATAAATCTTGTGTTTTTTTATCAAGATTTTCAAATATTAAAAAAGTCTTAAGATATTCAATTGAAATTTTGAAAAGCTTAAAGATAATAATTTGATAAATTTTAATAAATTATATTTTTAATGATTGAATTTCTATTAATTTTAGGTAATATATATATATAAATCTTGTGTTTTTTTTATCAAGATTTTCAAATATTAAAAAAGTCTTAAGATATTCAATTGAAATTTTGAAAAGCTTAAAGATAATAATTTGATAAATTTTAATAAATTATATTTTTAATGATTGAATTTCTATTAATTTTAGGTAATGGAGTTCAAAATCATATGCAAAATATTATTTTACAGTGGCTCTTTTTCTACTTGAATTATAGCGATGCGTGACATGTATTTTTCCTCAAAGTATAACATCTCAAATTTCAACGTTCTCAATGAAATGATTACTTAATGACATGGTGCACATAATAAAAATGGTAAAAAAAAAAAATTTACACATTTTCACGCTATGAATTTACCCATTTGGTTATTCCTCGTGCCATCGATTTTTTTTTTATTTTTTTTTGTTAACAATGCTATCAGAATCACTCTTGCTTTATTCTTTTTCCCATTTGGTCAACTGAACAAGTAGAGGTTAGGTGACAATGCCAGTGTTAATCACATGTTAAAGAGTTGCTAATGATCGTAGTCATCTAATAGAGGATATGTGGGTCAACTTGGTCAAACACTTTTCAGAAAATTGGAACTATCATATTTGGCTAACAGAGATTGAATGGCACAACAACATCTCTAATGTGCTTCAATTACTATCTTCAAGATTAAGGACTATTTACAATATCTTCTTATTTAACAAATGTATCAAATCCAATCACAACGCTATGATTTACAAAATTTTCTTCATCAAAAGCTTTTACATTCCACCCTCTTCAGCAAAATGAAGAGGGGAAAAAATATGCTTACAAGAATTGAGTAAAAAGGACAAGAGAAGTAGTTCTCCTAACAAGGTTACCTACTTAACTTTGACAAATAACAATCATAAGCAATGAAATGAAAACCTGATTCATGTGTTCACCTAAATCTTCTCATCAACTGCTGGTATATACCTAGTTAGAGGATCATGTCTGCTAAAGAATCTTAACTTTTTTTTTCTGTTATATCACAAATCCTGTGCATTATTTAGGCTGAAGAGTAGGACTCTGCATGTGAATAATCGCCACGGCTACTGCGAAAGACTGTAGTGCAGACAAGGGTGATTGAAAATGAATAAAATATAAACCATCATGAACATTCACCATTCTGAAGGAGGGGCTGAAATTGCTTGAACCCTGAAATCAGAGGGTAATGTGGTCATCTCATTGCATAGAAAAATAGTTGCCATTTTTTAACCAAACACAGGCAGTACATATAAGATTATAGATGCATTAAGTGAAATTGTATACAAAATGACTTGATCTTACAAGGAAAAAAAAAACAGCTGCAGAACTTTTAAGTGTCACAAACTAAATATAGAATTATTACATCATAGTTTTGGAGATCATCAGTCAAATTTAGTGATGAACATGCTGATATCCCTACCTGATCAATTCATACAATACATTCCCTACCAATTTTTGTGAAGAACACAAACCAAGAAAAAGAAATACATATGTGGCAAAACCAAATTCTTACAGTTTCCAACTAACGCTTTCAGTTCAAAGAGTACGGGGAAAAGTAACCACAAAGATATAGGACATTAGCATACCTGAGTAACTAATTCAATTGACTTGCATTCTCCTTGCATATCAACATGAGACAGAAGCTCCTCATTGCTGGATCTTCTCTGAAGTACTGTTAGAGGACATCCCTCGTCCCAACCACCACAGTCACACCGCCCGCCAGATTTCCATCTATCTATGAGACTAGATGGACCATTATGTCTGGTTCTAGGTCCACCATGAAAGCCTGCTGGAATGATAATGCTTGTGCTAGATGAAGAAGCCCCAGAATTTCGATTACAACTTTCAGAAGGCAATGTAGTTGGATTCACACCAGGTTTGTCTAGAAATTTCAAACCCCAACCTCCTACTTTGTCTAAGCTATGAGAGGGTCGATGGTCTTTGACCACAATGGCAGCCAACTCAAAATTTGGTGGAACATTGGATTCTAATAAATTGGTCCTTTCTAGAACACATGATTGTTGATCCAATGCACATCTTTCTCTTACGGTTTTTGATCTACTGAACCTTGAGAGTGTTCTGTGTATAGGTGATGGACTAGTTCTTAACACTTGTGATGCTTTCTTAGCCATGGCCTTGTTCTTCGTGTGAAAATGGCTTGGAGTGAACATTTCTTTGTCATAAATTTTACAATTACTAAATAATATAAACTTTGTTTCCATCAAATTTAAATTGTCAGGGCAGAGAGTGAGACATGTTGATACATTCATCTTACCAACAAGTTGCAAATCACAGTCTGAAATCTCGTGGCCCTTTTGGCTGCCCTTGTTCAAGTGAAATAGGTATACATAGTCCAAATCCTCATCATGTATTGTGTCTGTCTTGCTCAATTTGGCTACATAGACCTCCTTCTGATCATCTACAGAAAAAACAAAATGAGGAACACCTTGCTTCCAAGTGCACTGGAGCATTCCTTGAGACAGCTTAGAAACGGCAGAAGACATCCAATCAAAACAAGCAGAGTTAGTCTTGGTAGTAGTTCTTTTATGAACAGAAATGGAACCATACATATGGCTTTGCTCCACTGGTGTTTCCATTACTAGTCTGTGAGAAGAGATACTAAAACCACTTGGAGAGTCCACAAAATCATAGCACATCGTATTTTTAGCATCACTGAAGTTCATATTGTTCAAATTCTCATTTCTTTCTGAAGCACCAAACTGCTGAAGTAAAGGGCTATTCAATATATTGATCATACTCTTAGTCCCCATTACTGTGCCTAAATTCCAATTCTCTGCAGCAATAGTACTATCAACTACACTCTCAGCTACAGAATGTGCTAAGACTAATTGATCAGAACCACCACATTCTGTTCCACCAATAAATTTAACTGTATTCAACTTTTCTGCTGAAGTCCACAAGTTTTTGGTTTCTAAGCTCACAGGTTTATTGTGTTGAGAAGCTTTCAATGCACTATTGTGCACAGATTCCAGACAGCGACGAAGATACATCTCATCTGCACTTGCCAGAAGCTTTGGAATCTTGTAGTGTCCATGAACAAGTAGAAAGAATAAATGCTTTGGGAAAACATTAATATTTTGTGATTGGATAGTGTTTGCTAGCATGGCTGGTCGAGAAATTCCCCTTTTAGCCAACTTTTTTGACTCAGATGCTTCATATAATGAATCTTTTTTACCTTGGCCCCTTTTTTGAACCCAACTCAGTGCATTTTCCATCCTCCTCCTCTATCACACTACTGTGTCCTAATTAATGGCAGAAAAACCCTTTTTTACACTAATCTTCCTTCAACTATAAACTAAGCTTATAAGAAGAGCATCCTGAAAAGGAAGGAAAAAAAATAAAGGTAACATAACAAAAGAAAAAGTGTGCAAAACAAAAAAATTTAAAAACAGTTGTTTTGCTTCCATGGTTGACTATAGGACTCTAATTAATATTATAGTCTTCTACTTTTCCACAGGTCATGGCAGCATGGCACACATACTTCTTACATTTTAAAAATAATATAAAAGAAAGGAAACAAAGGAATATACGCAGTTCATATACATGCACATGGTCAAGACAAAGGCAAAGAATTTGCAGAGTAAATTGCACATTCATGTTACATAAGTTATCTAAGAAAACTTCTAAGGGTACCAAACCCAGACATGTGTTCTTCAATGAGTTAATTTAATCCATAGTATGTGTTGTTATACTAAAAACAACACCGATAGTCTGGCATTTTACCATCTTAAAACCAGAAAAGGAAGGCCAATCACATTCTAAAACAGAAATAAGCTGAAACAAAGGAAAGTACACAATCCACAAACAAAGACATTCAACAATATAAAAAAGAAAAAAAATTGGAACTATATATCAAAGACCAACTTGATATACCATACAAAAAGAACCAACCTCAACCGAAAGCACAGAAACCAGCAACAAGCTGAAGAGAAGTAGCTGACTTTCACAGACCAACACTCAAAATGGAATCAGGAGTGCTAATGAACCCACCCACTTGAGAAAGTGTGGATGGAGGGAAGAAAGAGTGTGAAGAAGACCAGTAAGCTTATGGTGGGAAAGTGGGAATCAAAAGATCGAACACAGACTCAACAGATGTGATGATTATAATATAATTTATAAATTTTATGCAATAGTTTTGAAATCTTTCAAAATATGTATATATATATATAAAAAAAATGTATCTGTATTGGAAGTGGACATTGGACATAATTCTAGGTAGAGTTAAACCACAAAGCAAAAAAAGAAAAAAACTAACTAAACTAAGTAACCAACCGAGTTAAGGTAGTGGCATAACATAATGGAGGTACGAACATGGGTTTGGTAAGCCACGTTGTTGGTTGAAAAATTGTACACACTCTTGAGTCTTGATTTGAGGAGGGAATAGAGGGTGAGAGTGCACACAAACTCCTCAAAATCAGGGTTCTTTGGTGGGACCCATTTCCTTGAAACCATTCCCACATAGGATAAAGAAATCCAGGGAAGACCAGAGAGAGAGTGTATCATTTATATGTTTACAAGACATGGTTTTCTTATTGAGCAAGGATTTTTCTTTCTTTTCTTTTTACTTAATGATTATGATTAACGATATTGTTAAACTCTACCCCTACGTACCAAGAAAACTTCAATTTTACTCATTTATAATTAACTAATAAATTATATATAGTGTAATTTTTTGTTTATATTACTTTCAATCTTAATCTGTTTTTTACAACGTGTTATAACTTTTATAATGATTACTTTGAACAGTTATATTAAGTATAATTTTTTATTTGCATATTTCTAAGATTGGAAAATAGCACCAATCAACTATAGCTATAACTAAAAATATACCATATGAGTATTATCCTTGTAAAGATGAAAATGAGTTTGTGAGAGATTAGAGTATCTTAATGAATGAATAAATGAGCTGGTGAGCATGATGGGTACATGACTCCACTAGAAGCCAAAGCAGGTGCCACTTGCAGACTTTCAGCCTTTAAACTGATACCAATGTGAAGGAGAGAGAGAGAGAGAATAGGGTCTGGTTAACTTGGCCATTGTTCAGATTCTGAGGAACATATACACCTTTGGGGAACCTATTGACCCAACTTTGACCCACCAACAGTCTGCATAATTCTGCAGTTCCATTTCTTGGATATATGCTTCACACATTCTTATTCTTCTTCCCTTGTAACCGCTTCATTAATTGCTCAGTTCATAAATTACAGTCACAGATAGATTATGAAACTATACCGTAATTACTTTAATTCTTTCTATTAGGGTGACCTTTTTAATGATTGAATCAAAATTATAGATTTTTTTAAATAATATTGTAAAAAATAATAAACTTAATATACTTATAATAGACAACCATTAAATGTTAGTACTTTAACTCTCTTTTTTCCCTAGACAGAGCAGAGAAATAGAATAGGGTTTACGAGAAGGGTAAAAAGTTTGAAGTGTTGCATGTGAATGAAACTTCTCTATCTATTTGTTCATCGCAAAGGGACAAATGAAGAAGATGAAGTGGAATTATGAAAGCTGAGACAACGAAAGGTCTAAGAATTGATCCGTGAAAGAAAGTTGGCGATGGTGGATATCCCACTCACAGCCCCTATTCCACGTTGATATAGGTAGGAAAAAAATAATGATTGTGATGTGATTTGTAATAAACTATTTTCAACACATTTTTTTATTGATTAAAGTTTAATAACTTTCTACATTTTACATGTTATTTTAATAAGTCTCTTAATAAATTTATTTAATAAAAGTGTATTAAATAGAATACTTTTTAACGAATATTTAATATTCATGATAAGTATACTTTTTAACGAATAAAGTATTCTAAAAGTTTGGATGAGAATTTTGACAAATATTCTAAAAGTTTCAGAAATAGAAGTGCAATTGTTTCCTTTTCATCCAGTGTGGATTTTTTAGAGTTGGTAAATGACAAAAAAAAAAAAGTTTTATTTTTTCTAGAGTATGTATAAGATATATACCATTATTATTTCTCAACTCAGGTTGAAGCTACGTTTAGTTAGAAAATGTACTGATAATCCAGCATGATATAATTATATAAATCAAGAACAAATGTTTCCTGAGAACTCATTATGCCAATAACCCTCTAGCAGAAACCAAAAAAAATTGCAAGCCAGAAGAATCTCTTGCAGCAGGAATTCTCATTCTGCAGAAAAGTTTAAAGACTCTGAACAGTGGTTTTTCTCTTGTATCCAAAATATTCAATAATCCAAAATATTCGGTGATATCAATTCGGATAAATTATATTAATGTTTAACCATTCTTTCTTATTTGTTTAGGATTTTATTTATTGTGATAAGCATATAAGAAATCTTATTGTTATTGATAAGGACATAAAAACTGAGAATAATCTCATATTTATACATAATTAAAGAAGAGACCGACTCAAATAAAATGAAATACTCAAATTTTTGGAATTGCTGATTTTTTTCTTCCACTATACATTTCTTTCTCTGACACATTATAAATTATTGAAAGCGAGCAACTGTATGTTTACCATTTTCATAATATAGTTCTGGATTATGTAAGTAATTTTTATTTTTATTTCTGATATTATAATAATTATATTTAATTTATAACTCATTGTATTAAATGCATTAACATATTAAGTATAAAATAAGAAAAATAAAAATATATAAATCTATTGAGTTCAATCCATCTATATATATATAATTCTATATATTAAAAAGTTAGTATTTTAATTTATATTTTTTAATTATGTTAATTTTATAATTAATTTATATATCATATAATGGAGTTCTCGTTGATAACCTTATTTATAACTAATTTTATAACCTTTTGTACTATTGCAAAAATCATTTTAAAATAACTTTTTTATAATCTTATTTTGATTAAAAAACGATGACTAAAAAAATAAAAGTTTTCACAAATTTTCCAGAAATTAACCTTTATCTTTCAATTTAGTTTGTAACATTTAAAAAGTTTTGCCTCTATAATTATATTTCAATATAATCCTTGTTAAGAAAATAATTAGAGACCGTGTAAAAAAAATACTTAGAAGCAGGTACCTAAATTAAAACATCATAAAATGAAGCTACATCAATGTGTTACATTACAACTTGATTTTTTTGGTTAATTAATACAACTTGATGTTCTGTTGCAACTTAATGAAAAAGACAATATCTGCAAAAATGTGTATAGTTTCTAATCTCTGTATGTTCCTAACTCACTTCACTTATTGGTATATTTTTTAGGACCCCAATTATTGAGTTTCCTCAAACCATCAAACGATGGGAAAGAGTCCTGCCAAAATTAATCTACAGAAGCTAAATATAGATAAGCTTTCACTAGTCAAACTATATTCGTTAATTCAAATCAAGGATTGGATGGAATAGTTGCATTTGAAAGAGTTCACCCCACTGATATGTGCAAAGATATCTGAGGAATCAACCATATCATCATCTTCTTTCACAATTATCTGCAAGTACAAAAGGGAAGGAATATGGCATCAAGGAATTCTGCCATCAAATAATTGAAAAGGCAAAAGTCACTGGGAATTTCTTGTATTTTTCATTATACACCTGGAACCTGTTTGGAGAAAGTCCTCTAAGAACACTTTTAGGGAAAACAAAAAATAGAAATAAAAAATGAAACCAGTTTCTCCATAAGCTAAAATTAACTTAAGGATAAGCTAATTCTATTAGCTTCTCCAAAATCTTATTTTTAACTCATGCAAAACTAATTTTAGCCTGGGAGAAAACTGATTTAATTTTTTCCTTTTATTTTTCTTACTTGTGGAGAAGTTTTCTCCAAACATGCCCTTAGGCAAGTTGTACAAAGAATCCAATTAAATGTGCATGGGAATCTTACCTCTTCATCGTCTTCTTCATGGTTGCTACTTCCTTGTCTATGGCTCTCTCCAAAGTCATCATTCTTTGCAAACCTTCCTCTGACCCGGGGCCTGCTATCTGCCAAAGTTTTACGGCAAGCATACTGCATTATTGAAAGAAAAAAAAAAATTGCACCATTAGTTGAATTTTTAAAATATGCACTAGACTTGGTTGATGACTTGATGCACTAATTGGAAGTCATGTATACCATAATATAAGATTTCAAATTTGTTTGTTTAATAATGTTGGAAGTCATGTACCTTGATTTTCTTGCTGAAGTTTCTTTCATTTCTCTTCTTCATGTATCTATGAATCTTTTCCTTCCTCTGCTCAACAGAAAGTTTTCCAACCTTCAAGGTAGAGTCCTCCAAGTGTGAAATTTCTGGTGCCAAAGTGGCAGAGCCCCCAGCTCCAGATACAAGTTTCTGACTCTCAGTACCAAGTGCCTGAGAGAGGAATTATAATCAAAGATCAATTTTTGGCCTACTCAATGTTCAAGCTGCACAGTAACTTTAAATAGACTGTAGAAAGAGATCTAGGACAGCCACCCTTAAAGTGGGTCATTCTATCCAATGATGCTGCTGTTTAATATCTTTTTTCTGTTTTTCTTTTGGCTGAAAGTGGTTAGGTTATTCCTTGTAGCTAGGCCAAATTTATAGTGTATTTTTAATGCATGTGACTTTATAATGGGACTCATCCTATGCTACCTACTATTTGATGGTCATGGGGCACCTATGAGTTTATAGTTCAGAGATTCGTGGACCATGAGCTTTCCATCAAAAGTCCACCACTGATAAAGCCTCTTCTAGTTTATAAATAAACTTCAATGCTGCAAATATAGTAACTTTTGCAGCATTATAAAGAATTTTTATTTTATCATCGAATCAGAATTTTTTTTAAAATAATAATTAGCTATAAATCATGTCAATAATTATTTCTGATTGATTGATAGTGTAAAAACTTATATACTTGCAAAACATGCCTAATAGACTCTAATTAGCTTGCAAATTGCACATACCTGAAGGTCTGGGGGATTAAACACCCTCTGAATTGAATCTGTACAATATATTCCACCATTTTCTCCCTGGTAGTCCAGTTCTTGTGCCTGCAGTTCAGACCCCAGAAGCATGTTCCCACCAAACAATCCAGAACTGTCAGAAGATAAGGCAGTGGTAAGGGAACCAGGAGGGGGCATGTACACTCCTATGCCAGGACTGAGATAAGAGCAAGAGGGAGAAGAAGGGTTGAGAGGCATATAAGAAGGGATGGAAGAGATGCAATCATCATCAAAAACTGATGCTAATGGAGCCCCAATAAGAGGAGCCACCACAGGGTCAGCAGGGTACTGAGAGAGGCCCTTCAAAACTGAACCTGCTGCTGATAGCTGCACATGTGGCTGAGCTGAAGAGAAATCAAACTGATCCTGTTGAATTGTGATTGGGAGAAGTGGCGGAACAACAAAAGATGGAGATGATGAGAAGTCTATGGAGGCTGAAATGTCATTGTCAATTTCATCTTGAGAGTCAAAGAAGATAGACAGGTTATTGCTATTTGTTGTGTTGTTGTTGATGTTGTTGTTGGTAGTGGTGCTGGCTGTGGTAGTACTAGATGAGGTGGTGACTATGTTGCTATTGCTATTGATATTGATCTTGCTGTCTACTAAGTCTAAAGGAGGAGATATGGTTGTGGCATATGAGGACTTGTCTTCATGGCAACAATTTGAGCTGGAGGTAACCTCAGAATTTTGCAGTGTATCTGGGAAAAAATCAGGGTCGCAAAGTTCGAAAATTCGAGCACTGATTGGGCTTGAAATCTCATCCTGCAGTGAGTGATGACATATAAGCATTGTGAACAACATGTTTACCAAAAAAACTACTAAACACGGTCTGAGAATAGTCCTAACAAGGCCCCTTCTTTTATAAAACAAGGAAACTTGATTCTCTATGGTATTTTATTTTTTCATTATGTTGAAATCTGAATCCAATTCTTCTTTTTGTTGATAGACATGAGTCTGATCTGATCACTTAGAACAGAAAAGAAATTCAAAGGCTAATATTCTCTAATCAATTGAAAATTTGGCTTGTAGATGTAGTGGGCATTCAAAAGTGAAAGACATGCCAAATGATATAGTAGTATCTGCCAGAGCACACCCTCCTTCTTTATGAAGAAGAAAACGAAATAAATCAATGTGCAAAGGCCCCAACAGGGAATTCTACCTATGACTGTGGTTGGTTGCATAGTCTAGTCAGTTTTGTCCATATTTGGTAATAGACTGAAGAGAAATTTTCCGAAAGGGTTGGCATTGTTGGGCTATTTATTGGTGAAAGTGATGTGCATCTATGCCTTCATGTGACAGGTAGGAGCCAAGGTAGCCAATGTTAGTATGAAATACAAGTTATGTGAAAACAAAGAAGGAACCTCATGCTATGTTATTTTTGTTCATTAAGTGGAAATTTGTCCTTCATTGGGAATTGAAAGCCACTTGAAGGGAACCCCATAATGCTATATATGCTATCCATGTGAATTTTTGTCACTAACACCCTTCTCCCTATCTAACTGAATAAAGAATATCGAAATTAGCAAAGCTTACACAACAAGCCCCCAAAGAGATATATATTCCACACGAACCGAAAGCTATATGTCTAAATGACTATCACGGAAATGTTACATCATTTTTACAACTTCGCCCCTTGGAAAATGACATTTAACACTTTGGTGGTAGGGCCATTGGATGATAATAATATCAAAAAGAGCATAAACTCACTCTCACGGACTCTTTGATTCCTTCCTATTGTTCAGTCAATAAAACTACATTATGCTCTCCAACCATATAAATAGAGGAAAGAAAACGTTCCATCCCACAAATTGTGAGCATGGCTTCTTGGTTTTCCTGACATAGCTAATAGCACTATGCCACTTCCACTCAGCCCCAGGAATATCACCAAATAAGGGAAATATTGTTCACATTTCTCAGAGACTAATCAGGATCAAATTGATTAAGATGCCAGCAAACACTAACAAATCATACCTTTCATCATCCATTCACGACTCATGCATGGAAACAATTAATTATTCCTAGAGAATTCAGTTTCACATGGCCACAAAATATAAGAAAGAGCACCCCAGATGAAAAACCATCAAAATTTTTCACATCTTATAACGTATTTGGTTTCATATCTCAAGATGCGGTTTTTTCACGTTTACCAAGAAGCTAATAGGGTGTTTTTAAACATTAATCTTACACCTTATTTTGTTTTATTTTTCCGGGGTCTCTGTCTCTTCCCTCCCAAGGTGTGTGAACAATCTTGGTGTGTGAACAATCTTGGAGTGTAAAATCATCCTTTTTGACAGAAAGACCAAGCCATTCCCCAAAGAAACTTGTGTGGTTACACACAATCACAAAAAACCAGAAGAAAACAATTTAGCTAAGGTAATAGATACTGCACGACACAAAGACATATATATCTCGCTTAGTTCCAATACATGCATTAAAACTAAATATATATGAATATGATTATGTAACAAGCTTGAGGTGATTACAATGGGGAGTTGCTCATCTGGTGTTGGGGGGTGGATAACATCCTGCAACATGGTGGTGATGGATCCTCTTTTGCACAGAAAAAGGAGGCAATGAAGGTGAACCTCAAATATACAAAAAAAAAATCTATGTACACACACTTAGAAAGAAGTGATATTTGGTGTGGTCACAGCCATGTGTTGAAACAAGTCTTGTTGATGACTAAAAACAATGCATATATGCTTAGAAAATGAAGCCTTTGGGATATTTTTGTCCAAAAAGGATATAAAAAAACAAAAATAATTAAACAGAAAACAACAACAAGAAGACAAAAAAAGAAAGTAGTAGAGAGAGATAGAGAGAGAAAGAGAGAGAAGTTGTGTTGTGTTAGCTAAGATGATGGGGTGTATGATGGTGTCAAAAACAGAGAAAGTTTGTTATGTGCATATATAGAGGATTGAGGTTGCTCGTAGAGCCGTCAAGCCTGGCACTCGCGGGCGTCAACGCGAGAGTAACGTTTGGCCATTAATTCACTACTTTGGTGGGGTATAGTGGAACTAAATTTTTGGGACATATATTATATATGGATTGCATAACCCGAATCACATGGTTAACTATGAACATAAATTCTGGGTTTTCTACAATTAAATCTTATCCTATGTAACACCATGTTAATGTTAGCATGTCATAAAAAGAATTACTAACTCATTCTTTTTTTGCTTCGGTTTTTTTGGGTGCATGGATACACATATAGCATGAAAAAAATTGTAAGAATTTACATGCTATAAATATAGGTTTTCTTCATTGTTCAACTTATTAGGATTCTTTGGGAGAGTCGTCACATCTACATCGATCGTAACAACAACATTCAAATACCATCATCACACTTCAACAACTTAAAACAACCATGCAATCATAATAGTATTCATGCAATAAAATGCAGACTGAGATTTCCAGTGTTTGACCACCATAACTTATGTGTCTACTCATGCATTATCCATGAAGGCATATATAAGCATTCACGATGATTACATAACTGGTAACAACTTTAAGTGTCAGACATGTATAACCTAGTTTTCATGCATTATATGTTGTGTTTGTTTATATTTATTTCTTTGTAATATAATTAACAGATGATCATGTCTTTTAAATTTATGTAAAAAAAATTCAGTTATCTGAATTCATGTTTTAAAAGGAACTCTAGGGGTATAGTATACTCTTTGTTTTGGTTAAAAACATTGCTTGATTAGAAAAAGAAAGGGAAAATTAATATTTTGCCCCAAAAAGTTAAATAAGAAAAGAAATACATATTAATTACATTATTAGAAAATAAACCTTTCACTCTTCTAATGCCAAAAATCCTTAATAACAATTGTGTGACTAAAACTAAAATTCGTTTGTATGGAAGAAAAGGAAAATTTTAAAATATATAGATTTTTTATGTAGAGATGAAGCAATACACGGTATTAGTTAGATTTATCATGAACATATAAAAAAGTATTTTTCCTATATGATTTCTTTTTACTATAAAACATTGGTATTAGTGGATACACATAAACTTGAAAGTAATGAGTTTTTCTTCTTAGGAATATTTATAGCTTTCCGGATATACATTCTATAGATCTTAGCTTCTATTGCACATGGTAATGATTTTATAATAGACTAAAAGGTTCACGACAAATTATTATTTATCTACCTAGTTTTTTTCTCGAAAAGATATATATATATATATATATATATATATATATATATATATATTAAAAATTTATCAAAACAATTTCATATATGATCAAAATTTAAAAAAATGACATCAATAAATAAATTAAAACTATGAGAAGAAGGATCACATGTTTTTCATTCATTTGCTTAACATAAAAATTATTAATAAATGTTTTATAGTTCTCACCTTTTTAAATGTTATAGCTTAATTAATAAAACATGTGCATATAAAAACAAAAATGCTGACAAGTTCTGCATGTAAACTTAGTATAAGTGTCCAAATACACGGGAAAAAGAAGAGAATAAAGTGTCCAAACCTACCCTTTAAGTTAAGGACCCGATCTATCAAAAGATTGAGACCTTGGAAACAGTATTGTTTCTATTAGCATCTAGCATGTTACTTATTTACTTAATTAGGAGACAAACTTTGATACAAGATTTTTAGTTGTTGCATTAATATCAGTGACCTAGCTAGGTAGCTAGGGAAGTTATTAATAACAATGAATTGCATGAGATTAAAAGTATTTAAATTAAGCATCAGAGTTAAATATTTAATTTTAAAGCATTTTATTTTCAGTAGTGACATAAAATAATTATATACTAAAAAGTTATTTGAAGTAAATACATAAGTTTCAAAGTAACAGTGCATGTAATTTTTTAGAAGATTAAAACTATAACTACTTAAAATTATGGAAATTAACATAATTAAGATGGATTTTTATTTAATTATTTATTTAAATATTATAAAATCCATGTTGAGAAAACAAACAAGTAAGAGTCAATTATTGATAGTTCTAAAAAGAAGAAAAAAATAAAGTCAAGGATTGATACACTTAAAGTCATACTATATATATATATATATATATATATATATATATATATATATATATATATATATATATATAACAATAATAGATATTGATTTATAATGGTTTAGTTAATTAATGAACTAATTAACTAGAAAATTAGTATAAACAAGATATTATAAATCAGACAAGGAACTAAATTACTGGATCCAGTTGAATTAACTCTAAATATATCTTGATTGTAGAAATAGTTTTAAAAACTTTAATCGCAAATTAACATTCATGATATATATAAATTGTTGATTTTACAACAATTATCTTAAAGTTGTATCTATCGTATTTTATAATTAATAAAAGTGCTAAATTCTCTACTCTAATATACACAAAAAATTAACTTTTTTTTAATAACTTTTCATCCATAATTCAGAAGAGATTCCCTATCCTATTATGCTAAAACAAATCCTTTATCTTCTTCATATCAAAACCCTTTAAAAGCAGTTAATTAGAATTAAAATGTAGGAGAAATCAAGAAAATCTAGAATTTGTTGTACTTATTCTGCTTGCTTGATATCTTGGGAGAAAATCACTGCTTGATTTAAAAGCTGTATCTGATGCACACCATAAAAATATCACATAAAGACAGATGCTATACCAAAACCTGAGTTTTTTTTAGTAGAAAGTGTATCAATTAATCTGCTTATTGATTAGACTGTATCAAATGTGGAATAACTTGCTATAACTTCAACTTGGCTTGTAAGAGGCTCATCAACTTAACTTTTTCTATCATTGAAAATTTTTAATTAGAAGGAAAATAATGGAACTCGACACTGAATTTATCTTGATATATTTCTTTAGATAAACCTAAAGAGATTTTTTAAGATAAAGCTGGTTGTACTAAGCACAAAAAAATTATGTATCTCTCTATGTTGATTAATCACATATTGCTTAATTTTTTTAATAAAAGTTAATATGTAAAAAAGTATTGCTGTGAAAATTAGACATTTCAATTGACATCCTAGAGCTGTCTATCATTTGCAACAAGGTTTTTAAAAAATCATTTTAATCATTATTCAAGTTTATAATTAAGAAATAAAAACGCAATTTAAAAAAAAATGAAGTAATTGATTTTTATTTTTAAAATTTGATGAGGAACCAATTTCTTCAAATTCATAGTCTTCACCAATAAAAATCTCCCGCAGTGCAAAAGAATGATTAAGATTCCTTCTTGCAAATGATGTCCTTCTGAAATTGTTTCATGGGTATTGCAACCATTGAAGGAATAAACGACGTGTTGTTTGGCTCAAATCTGGAAAAAGTTGCTCAACAGTGTCATGTAATAAGAATATCATCAACAAAATTTCTTCTAAATTGATTAATTAACTTGTATACATGTAAATAAAAATATATATATATATATGCTAAAATAAATTCAAAAAAAGCAGCTCGATATTAATATATAATGTACATCTAAATGATCGAAAATTTTCAAAATAGAAAATGTATCAAAACATTGGAATATAAGTGTCAGAAAAACAAAAAGGATGATATTGTTAATAATTTCTTTTGGTTTAGCTCTAATTAACTCCATCTTTTTATCAAACTATTAATTTAGTCATGTTAAATCAAACATTACTGCATTAAAAAAGAAGCACTGATATATAATGGATAACTTAAAATTGAATAAAATAATAATTTTGATTCTTTCGATATCTAGTGTGCAATTTTGATCTTCTATTTTTTTTTTAATTTTCAGATTTAAAAAAAAACGTAAATTTGGTTTAAAACATATTTATCATTTAATGAGTTAAATATTTTGTATTAGTATCTTAAATGAATAAATGTATGAGATGTAGTGTTGAATTTAGTCAAACTAAAATAAAAGAAAATGAAAAAAAAATCGTAAGAAAGAATTACGAGAAAACAAATATGTCATTAAAAATATATAAGTAATAGATAACAGTATAGTTTGTAGTGAGTGATGGTGGTTTATGGTGAAGAAATTAAGGTTGGGTTGGCACATATGCTACTATTTAAGCATTGGTTGGTTGAGCAAAAGGACAAGTACAGCATGTCTAATACCTTTGGTCCTTTCAAAGGCTAGAATCTTACATAAATCATTCTCCAATGGAGCCAGGAATCTTACAACTGAGAGAGGAAAAATATGAACACAATTCTGAGAATCCAAATCAGAAATTGGAATTTCCATTGAGCAAGGGAACCCCTTCACCTTTTTGCCAAAAGGGGCAATTTGGAAGCTCTCTGTAGAAGGGAATTTACGTGGACAAATATGGGAGTAGTAGACACTTGACATGAACTAACAATCCAACTTCTTTGGTTAGACAAATGCAGCATGCAATGTTGAAGACAGTGGCACGTGTCTAGAGAAGAGTGCTTGGTGTGGTGAAAATCGAATGAAGATGTTGATGCAAAGTGACCTATGTATATGCCTATGAGATAGGCTTATTTTGGTTTTCACATGCATGGTGCTTCATTGGTTGGCTTGTGACTTGTCTTCTTTGATTTACCAACCCTAAAATAAGGTTCAAAGAAAACTGGTTGGAGAGAGGAGCTTGACATGATAACCAACCTTTTTCTTTAATTCTTCAGCTTTTACTTTGTAGCCAAAATCCTTTTCTGATTCTCTTTTTCTTCTTCCAGATAATTCATGCACACTGTCATTCTCACACATGCATGTTGCCTTGTTTGGTTTCTTTTCTACTTTTACAATATTAATACAATTACCTACGCTAGTTTTGCAGTTAGCTATATTAAAAAAAAAAAAATATATATATATATATATATATATATATAATGTAAACAAATTATTTTCTTACATTAAAATTTTATAAAACATTTCACACATTCAATGATGCATAATTATTTTTTAATATTGCAAAAACATTTTTATGTGAATTATCGCCGCTGTTGAGAATTTATCAGATTTTTATTTTATTTTTTTTACTTAGAAGCTGAAATTAATGTTGCACTTTATATATTCAAATTCATTTGAGAAATATATACACATGCGACAAGTGTCACAATAATTAAAAAAGTTTATCACATTTTGTGTTTCATTCATTTAGTCCCATCTGTCAAACATATTCTTCATGTTGCCATCTTTAAGATCGAACAAAGAGGATTTCGTTATGGTATACCTGCATGCCACGATATTTTGTAGATCGAATTTTGGAATAAAATTAAGATATGGATAGATTAATTGGGTTTGAAAGTGTGTTTTGATTTGCAATGTGCTAACTACATAAAATCAATTTTGATGCTTCAAATCCAACCAATATTTTAAATTTTCAGAAGAAGCTAATAATTTTGTATATATAGAATCTGAGTTTCTATGATTAAGAGTTTCAACATTAATTGACACTTATTATTTCATACAAATATTGAATTTCAAAGGCAAAATATACTCATGCAAATGATAAATGTTGTAACTTTAAAATTTGTTGTATGATAAAAAACATGTTAGATATACAAATAATCAATCTCAAACTATATCTTAATATCTTAAATTTCTAGCTTTCAAAAGAATCTTGTAGCATAGAATATGACAGGCATGTTGGCACCAGTAATATTTAGGAATATTTTCTTACACATGCATAATATATATGGGGATACCTTGTGCAGAAGCACATGGGAAACAAGGGATCATATCAAAGAAATTTTTCTAAAACATGCAACTAATAATCTACACACTTTTGACGAGAATAAAGCATGAAGATGCAGTCAATAATGTTAAAGATAAAAATAACATCTAGAGTTGCGTGATTATTGCTAAACTAACTTCGAAAAATATTTTTCTTATTTTATAGATATAATATATTATTTACCAAATGATTGTTTAAGTGATATTAAGTTAAGTTTTGAGTTTTAACATGGATTGAAAATAAATTATCTATTAAAAGTAATTTATCAGATATTTAGATAAAAATCAGTCTTTGTTAAAATTAATGTATAACATTCTAATACATTATTTACAAAATATTCAAACTTGCTTAAATAAATAGTAACAAATAAGTACGTCAACTATTTATGAAATTAGAGAATGTTTGTGAAAGGATTTCGCAAGAGTATTGTAGTTTTTCTTTATTCTTAATTTTTTAAAGAGTTTTATGAGATGACATTAGAGTTAGCCTAATCAAGGTGATTAGACATTTAAATGTAACTCTCTTAAGGTTTAGGGTGAATCAACATTTTTTTTCCCATTTTTCTTTTCTTTTGCACATTACATTTTATATATTTTCTTTGGTAAAATTGAAGGACTAGATACAATTGTTTTAACATTTTTTTAGGTTAACCAAATTTCTTAAAAAAGTCCATATTTGATTAAAGAAAATATTTCATTCAATTTTGAAAGTTTTTTTAAGTTAAAATTAAACTCTCTTACACATAACTATTATTTAAAAAATCATATTAGATTTGAAAACTTTTGCGGAAAATACTAAGTTTACATTACCCAACTTAAAGGGTAGTGAGAGATAAAACACACCTAGTCTTAAGTTGATATGAAATAATTTTTACAATAATAAAAAATTTTAAATATAATTTTTAGCATATGCATGTATATTTTTGCTAAAACTATGATGTTTTTAATGTATATTATTTTCGGGTTCAACTTCATCTTTGCCCAAAACTTTTTTATATTTTTTTTTCCTAATCAAAAGTTTTTTTTATTCCTGAATTTAAAGCTCAGTATACTTTTTATCTTACAAACCGATTGAACCAATCACAATTCCAATTTTCAGCCCAATTGGTTTTGGACCATATGGGCCAGTCCAATGATTGTAAATAACATTCATTCAATCACAATTCCAATTTTTATTAATCCCAACCAATGACCAAATAATAAAAAAATATAGAAAATATCGTTTTACCTTTTCTCCTTCTTTCTTATTAAAAAAAAGTTTGTAAAGAACCTTTATCTCATTTTGAAGAAACAAGTAAATCTCATTATTAAAAAATAATACCATTTTCCATTATATATATATATATATATATATATATATATATATAATATAATTATACTAAGTTATACTTATGAGCAAATTATACTAATATAATATTCATTATATATACGTGTCTTGAATTTTGTACTAAAAGGTAAAAAAAAGTGGAGCCGATTATTTTACACATTATTTTTTTACCTTGTGTTTATATCATTGTATAAAAAGTTTTTTTTTATAAATATTTTTATGTCATAATTTATAAAATTGTTATTTTTATTATATTAACAACGAAGAGGAAGAGAATGTAAGAAAAAAAGTTATTTTTGGTATTACGAAGAAAAAAAATACAGTTTATTGTGATAAAAAAGAGAAGAAAGGAAAAAAAAAACAAAAACAAAAACAAACGTGAAACCGAGGATATAGCGTTGACAGGTATAAAAAGTAGAGAGAAAAATGTATGACATACAACGAGTAAAATGATAACATGTAATGTATATCTCTCTCATTAATTTAATATTATAAAAAAAATCACATTTATCACACATGTTTTACTAATATATTTATTATAAAATTGTAAAAAAAAATCATATTAACGAAAATACAAACGTTTTAATATATAAATTACAGTAATAAATTTTTAAATTTATAATATGTTTTTTCTATAACATAAAAAATACAAAAAAATTTGTTATATATATAATTATAGATACAATTATTTCTTAACTAGATGATGGATAAGGTATATTTTTATATGAATAAAGGATATTATTTTATAATTTCTATTATTTGAAAAAAGAAGTTAGCCAAACGTATTTTATAAGACGTCCACAAATAATTTTTTGACCATAATATTTCTGTCAATTACTCTCCCAAAAATATATATTTTTCAAATAAATTCTGACCAAAAATTTAAAACGATTTGGTCCGAACCCGAAAATCAGGAATGGACCGGGTATATGGGCCGAGCCGGTGCGGGCAGGATGTTATATCCATTTGCAATAAAATGATACACGAAACAATGTGAAGTCTCTCTGAAATCATTAGCGGTGGTTCGCTTGATTTGGGTCACTTCCGTTTCCCTCTCTCTCTTTCTCATACACTACCATAGCTCCCAAAAACCCAAAACCCTAACTCTCTCGCCCCCTCTCTCTTGCTCGCTCCAACGATGAATTGCTCCAGTAAGTTCTCTTCTCTTCTGATTCCAATTCCACGTTCACATACTCTCTCTCATTCTGTTTTTTTTTTTTTGGTAAAATTTGTTCGGTTTTGCTGATCTGATTCTACGTCGTTTTTTCCCCCTGTGTTTGCAGTCTCCGGCGAAGTTCCGGAAGAGCCCGTGGTATCCAGGAACTCCGGTCTCCTCTTCGAGAAGCGTTTGATTGAGCGACACATTTCGGTAACCTTTCGTTCTCTCTCATTTTTTTTAATATTTTTTATAAACTCCTTTTTATGTTTATATGTGTGTACATTTTGTTCCTCAATTTACTAAGAAAATGATAAAGAAAGCTGGTGGAAGAGTAGCGAAAAGTGTTTTAATTGATAAGTGAGAAAGGAGAAAGAAATGACACTTTTTGTAAGTTAATGAAGGCAAATTTGAGCTGGTTTCTGGGCTCCGTGACTGGAATTTCACGATACTTGATTGAAACCCTTCCCCTTTTTTGCTCGTGTCAGAAACGGATTTTGCGCTGGTGGTTAGGCTAGGGAATGTGAAAGTTAATAGAATAGGATTGTAAAAGATGGGATATAATTTAAAATGTTATTTTGTAGTAGCTCTATCATATGACTTTTGATTTAGAAGATTTTGAAGCATTTTAGCTTTTATTGACTGTTTGCTCAGTTGTTTGTGTTTGTCTAATTGATAAAGAAGGGAAGTGAAGTTAGGCGAAGGGAAATGAGGTTAAGGGAAGTTAGGCGAAGTGAAGCTAGCGTAGGGAAATTAGGGGAATTTTTAATAAGAAGTTACATGATGAAAGTGTTTAAAGTTTTTTTTTTTTAATTGTGTCTGCTTTTGCTATGAGATGATGTTGTGGCGGTACTTAATTTCATAATCTCTTGTTCATATGTTTTCTTAGCCTGTACATAGCTATAATATCGATTATGAGATTCATGCTTTAAATTTTGCTAATTAAATATTCTGTAGGATTATGGGAAGTGTCCAATTACTGGCGAACCACTTACTATGGAAGACATTGTACCAATCAAGACAGGCAAGGTACGGTGATAATGGTTTCAGTTGTATTCTTTTGATTATGAGTCTGGATTTTATATAAAGACTAAACCCTCCATGTTTTTGTTGTGCTTTACTTTTCAAGAGTTCACTTGCAATGTACTGATCAAGTCAGGATTATTTGTGCAGATAGTGAAGCCCAGACCTGTTCAGGCAGCTAGTATTCCTGGCATGCTGGGAATGTTCCAAAATGTATGGAATTTAAGTTATGAAGTATTCTTTATGATTGTTGGTATATTTTACTTGAGATACAGTTATATCTCAAGTATAGTTATATGCTCTAAATATTTATGCTGCTGCATTTTTTCTTGAAAAAATAGTTATATGCTCTACATTATTGAATTGAGTGTTCAATGTTGGTTTCTGTTAGGAAGTTTTCTGTGTAAATATTTAGGCATGCTTACATATGTGTAGTCTTCTTTCTGTTAAAAGAAAACAATTATGTATACTTCCACATAGGATGATTTAGTTTGCCTAATTTGTAGGAATGGGATGGGTTGATGCTATCTAATTTTGCATTGGAGCAACAATTGCACACCGCAAGGCAAGAGCTAAGTCATGCTCTGTATCAGGTGATAGCAGCAAAGTTATTAATTTATTCTTTTGATTTATATTTCTCAGTCCTTGTATTTGCAATCTCCAAAACTTTCAGGTTTCTTGGTGTATTAGATTCTCAAATTGCTGATACAATAATGAAATTATTACTGTTGCTATATTTTCCACAGCAAGAGTTGCCGTTAGTTACATTTGTTTTAATCTGCAGCATGATGCTGCCTGCCGAGTGATTGCTAGACTTAAAAAGGAACGAGATGAAGCTAGGTCTTTACTTGCACAAGCAGAAAGACATTTCCCTGTTTCTGCACCAATTGCTGCAACTGCAAATGCCCCTGTTCTGAGCAATGGGAAAAGAGGTTTTGATGTGTTATAATTTAGTCAAATTTTCTTTCTCCTCTATGTTGAAACTCTGCAGACTACTTTTTAGGCTGAGCTTGATATGACTTCATAAAACAGCTGCTTACTCCATTATGTAACAGATGAAAGTGTTCAAAAGCTTACATTTGGCATTTTCTTAGTGATTTTTTTCCCTAGTGGCTATTGGTTCTTTTGTGTTTGTTGTTTTGATTGTTTATTTGAATTATCTTTTTGGCATTTAGCTGCTGAGGATGAGGACCTGGCTCCTGGTGCCAAGAAAATTCATCCTGGAATATCTTCTAGCATAATTTCTGAGTTAACTGATTGCAATGCTTCTCTTTCCCAGCAGAGAAAGAAGAGACAGGTATTCTTGGCGATAATACAAAGACATTGATATTTTCAAATGTTTATGTTGCTGTTACTACCTTCTTTTTCTCCATTTTGGGGTCAGCTCTTCTGTTTAAATATTTTGACAATTTGGATTTTAGGGAACGTTTAGTATTTGATTTTGATTGTTTTGATTTGCATCCTAAAATTGTAATGTATGTGTGTGCATGTAAATTTTTGTGGCATATTTCAACTGTTTTTCATTTTTTTAATATGTAAATTTTAATATTTGCACTTGTTTGTGCATACGCTTCTTTGTTTGATTTCAGATTCCTGCCACTCTGGCTCCTATTGAAGCTCTAGAGTCATATACCCAGATATCTAGTCATCCCTTTCACAAAACAAACAAACAGGGCATTATATCTCTTGATATCCTTTATTCTAAGGCATGGCTTTTAAACATTGTATATTGGAAACATGCAAAAAGGCTAAATGATTTTTTTTTACCTTGTATAATGGGTGCTAATCCAGGATAATCCTATTCTCTGTTGACAGGACTTGATTGCAACTGGAGGTATTGATACAAATGCTGTTATTTTTGACCGACCATCAGGACAGATATTATCTACGCTTAGTGGTCACTCTAAAAAGGTTTTATTTCAGTTGGAACTGCTGGAGTTAACTTTTTCTTTTATTTATTTTGCTGATGATGGGTGCTTTTGGTAGGTGACCAGTGTAAAGTTTGTAGCTCAGGGGGAATCATTCTTAACTGGTTCAGCAGATAAGGTAAGGTGCTATCCTTTACTATTAATTGCTTGGAAGTTGGGAATATTTTATTTAGGGCCATTTCAGAATAACATCCTCTAGTTGTGTAAGCACATGTGTAAAAGTTGTTTTTATCATTAGAGGGAAATGCGGTTATCATTAGAGGGAAATGCGGTTAAACTGTTTTATATAAGCTGTTGGCTGTTCTCAGAAGCTATTCTGGATAGCTTATTGAATTAAGGTAAAAAATATTTGGACATATCATAAGCTATTTTTCATATGCTCTCCAAAACACTTACCCTAGTCATTGTGTCACAAGATAAGACCAAATAAGGTCTTCCAAGTGGGGCCTTGATAACCCTCTCTACCCTAAGAGCAGACATTGTACAGCATTACAGGGATGTTCCATCCATGCATTGCTGCATTCAATGTTTTCTCCTCCAGATTCTTGAGCTTGTTTTTCGTTCAAGGACTGTGATCCACATTCCACTCCATATTTTCCAATCTCTTGTAACTTCTGCATTTTGTTCTCATAATGGATACTCTTTTGACTTCTAATATTCACCTTGGCAACCAAAAATGGTGTTGTAAATGTGAACTCTAAAGCACTTGAAAATTTTTAAAGATGTAGAATGGTGCTAAGATTAACTCTTCCAGGTGTAACTTTTTCCGATTTGATCAGAAGTTGGACATTAAGTTCTTGGCAATAAGCTTGTAGTCAGTAATGTGAGTCTGTCAACTTAGTGTTATCAAAGTACAAATGCAAGTTCTATAACAAATTAGTTAAGTGATGTTTTATCTAATCTGTAAGCTAGTTTTATTTTTCATTTTCAAATGCTCACTAATTTTATTATATATTGCAGACAGTTCGTCTTTGGCAAGGGTCAGATGATGGTAACTATAACTGCAGACACATCTTAAAAGATCATACAGCTGAGGTAAATGGAACTAATGTTACCATATTATATCATAGTTAGTTTATAATTTCGTGTGTAACATCATTCCTATCTTGCCTTTCTAGAATTGATGTAGAAATAAGCTGGATTAATACACTGATCTAAATTACAATTTTTTTATTACATTGAGGCAGGCCTACACTTACTCGTCATGAGTTTTAGGTTAACAATATGATCAAGTGTTGGGGGCATGGTGTATTACTTGATTCTTCCAATGACTCAATTTTATTATAAAAGCTTCTAGATTGGTATGATTAGATGTTTGTATAAATAATTTAACCCCACTTTTGTCTTCAATGTTGTACTTGTTTTGCAACATTTGGGTGATAATTTTGCTGGCATGATATTAAATTTTACCCATTGGCTGATGCCATGCTCTTTGGTGTGATAGTGGTTTCAATAGATTTGGTGGCATGTAAAATTATTTATAGGATTGGGTTATTTTTGTACACAAAACAATAACTTTCCCTATTTGATGGCCTGGCTTGGTACGAATTTTTACAGAATAGGAAATATTTTAAGATAAGAGAGTGCAAAGCTGTAGAAATTCTTCAAACACAGCTCCACCATCAGAACCAAGTCAAGAAGTCCTCAAATAATTACCTTCCTCATGGCTACATAAGCCCCTCAAATGTTTTACTTATTAGAAATGTAGGCTGAGATCAAGTGGGTAGGGGGGTGAATTGGTCTTTGAAAGTTTTTCACACTACAAATTATCTATTTCAAAGATTATGAATTCTGATCAAGTTTTGAACCAAGAAAAACAAGCAGTTCAATGTTAAGACACAAACAAAATAAAAGAGAGTAAAGGTTTAAAGAAAGGTACATAATATTTATATTGGTTCTCCCAAACCACAGGGTTACATTCAGTTCTCAACCAAATTTCAGTTGAGTTCCACTAGATTGATTATGTTTCTTATTACAAACCCGAATCACAAAACACCAAATCCACATCAAGAACCAAATTTCAGTTCTTGCACCAAATCTTCACCAAGAACCAAGTTCCAGTTCTTGAACCAATCTGCAGCCAAATTCCAGCTATAGAACCAGTGTCCAACACTTCCAGACACCCACAATACAATAAAGAAATTGAAAAGAACATAGAGAAGAAACTAGAACAATCAAACCTGGATTATGAAGCTCTTGCAGAATGAGTTTCTTTATAAGTAAGAATGCAAAAATGTCTCAAGAAAGAACTTTGAAAAACTCCACAAAATTTTGCGCACTTCCTTGAAAAACTCTTCATTGATTGCTTGTTTGATTATTCAAAGGTGTATTTAAAAACGTTGAAGCAATCCTGTTTATATAGAGTCATTTTCCAACTAACTGGTTTAATTAATCGGTTAAAACTTTTTTTAATCGATTATTAAGTCTTGATTAATCGATTAAAACTTCTTTTAATCGGTTAAAATGTGCTTAATCATTTCCCATAATTATTTTAATTGATACGATTTGTGTTTTAATCGATTAAAACAGTTATACACAAATTCTTTAAGTTGTTTTAATCGATTGATTCACGGTTTAATCGGTTATAATTCTATCAAAAGATTTCTCAAAACTTTATAAGTGATTTTAACTGATAAGAGCTTTGGTTTAATCGATTAAAACTGTTAACAGAAATTCCTTAAGTTGTTTTAATCGATTAATTCAATGTTACATTGATTAAAATACTGCCAGAGCACTTTTCAAAATATTTCAAGTGATTTTAATTGATTATTTTGAAGTTATATCGATTAAAATACTGATAGAACACTTTTAAAAACATCTCAAGTGATTTTAATCGATTATTTCAAAGTTATATCGGTTAAAATATCGACAAAAGGTTTTCGAACACTTCTTTAATGAAAATAATCGATTATTTCGAAAATATATCAATTAAAACTTTGTCAGGGAATGTTTTCGAGTTGATTTTAATCGATTAATCTTAAAATATATCAATTAAATTTTAGTCTTAAGAACATATTAATCAATTAAACAAGTTTTTAATAGATTAAAATGCTTAGAGGCATTTTCAATTTCTTGCAAATGATGAAGCCTCATGCAACAGAGAAGAATAAATGATTATACTAATTAATATTGATGTAGACTCACTAATCACTCTACCCTTTAACCAAGGAACCTTTGACTTCATCAAATCTTCAAGATCTTTATCACTTTCATTACTACCCCAAGTTCCATAAACCTTCCTCATCTTGCTCAAAAAAATCATTGAGATAATTGCGCATTTAGTTTCATACCCTCTGTTCTTGTTAAGGTTCCAACATAAAACTAATTTGCAATATGTGGAGTAGTCTAACATGTATTTAAATCATACCAAATGACATGAAGTAGGCAATGTAGGACTTCCAACATGCCCCCTCCAATGAAGCCTTCCGGACCAGACAGAGGGTACTTTTGACCCAACTAAAGGGCAACTTTTGGTCTATGGCAATAACCAGAAAGATGTTAGGCTTTGACTCTGATACCATGTTAAGGTTCCAACATAAAATCAATTGGCAACATGTGGAGTAGCCTAACATGTATATAAACTATACAAATGACATGAGGTAAGCGATGTGGGACTTCCAACACGCCGTTTTTTTTTTTTTACCTCAATGAATTGTATTTACCATTAATAAATAACATGAGGTAGGCAATGTGGAACTTCAAACATGTCCCTTTTTTTTCTAAAATAATAATTAATTACAACACATTGGAACAACAATAACAACTCAGTAACCTCATAACAACATTATAAAATTACAACAATTAGATAAGTTGACAGAGGTGGTTGGGACAACAGAGATGGAGAAACACATAACATTATAAAATTACAACAATTGAATAAGTTGGCAGAGGTGGTTGGGACAACAATGATGGAGAAGTAGCACCTTCACTGACTTTTCGTTCTTTTACGAGAGTTAATTGAAGAGGTAGAACGGCGAAAACTTGCTTTAATCTCATTTAAAGCATTAAGAAGAAAATCTGCTCTAGATTTTGGTGTTTCATTTGATACCACCAAATATTTAGCAGATGTTGGACCACAATGGTGGATCAACCAGTGTTTTTGTTCTACACTAATTTTTTATAGAAACTGCAAATCTTCAACATATTGGACTGCTAAAGACTCCCTATAACCAATCTTTTTCAGCAAGTTTGTCATTCCCTGGACATTTGATGTGAAAAGAAGAATTGTTTGCATCGGTTGTTGCATTGTGAAACTTCCACTAGATCCAACATTTTCCATGAAAATTTCTGGACAGTTTAAAAATGAATCTTTCTGTAAGCTTTCAATGTCTGTGAGTTGTTTAAAAACCTCACTTTCATCCAAACTCATTATGTAAGACTAAACGCTAAGACCAACGAAGCCAGAGGAGGGAGAAGGAGAGCGGGTGACGAAGGCGCGGCGAGGCACGATGCAGGCGTGTGAGTGTTCCGGGAGAAGAGAAAAACGCAGTGCGGAAAGAATAAGAATGAAAGAGAGAGAAGGAATTCAAAAAATTTATTTACTGATATACGTGCAACTGTGCACAGATATCATACTTTCTATAAAGCGGATCCGTCGTTGAGCAGAATGCAGAATGATTCTTTAAGGAATTTTATTAAAATTGTGTTTGGAGAGTCATTACTCGACCAAAAGAGCAGTTTGAAATTTCAAGACATATAAAGCTTGCAGAAGAATTCATTTTTAAACTGTCCAGAAAATTTTATGGAAAATATTGGATCTAGTGGAAGTTTCACAATGTAACAACCGATGCAAACAATTCTTCCTTCCACATTAAATGTCCAGGGAATGACAAACTTGCTGAAGGAGATTGGTTATGGGGGCCTTTAGCAGTCCAATATGCTGAAGATTTGCAGCTTCTATAAAAAATTAGTGTAGAACAAAAACACTGGTTGATCCACCATTGTGGCCCAACATCTACTAAATATTTGGTGGTATCAAATGAAAAACCAAAATTTAGAGCAAATTTTTCTTGTTAGTGCTTTAAATGAGATTAAAAGCAAATTCTTACCGTTCTACCTCTTCAATTATCTCTCGTAAAAGTAAGTGAAGGTGCTGCTTCTCCACCTCTGCCAACTTATCTAATTGTTGTAATTTTATAATATTGTTATGTGTTTCTCCATCTCTGCTGTCCCAACTACCTCTGCCAACTACTAACCACTAATAATTCTAACAGTTCTAAAATTCCCCATTGTTGCAAGTCTGTGCATAGCATTCTACACACTTCCTATTTTGTTAGGATTTGGATTTTGGAAATTCCCCTTAGTCATCTTCCCTTGTCCTGTTTGATTTGACCACATATGAGTCATAAGAGAGTAATTGGATATTTAGATGTGAATGGTGAGTGTTCCATTAGTTTTCAGTGGAGCCATTTCCCATCATTTGTGCTCATCTGTATCACAAATAATCACAGCAGAATACTCATTTCACTAATCTATTTTTGTATTGCCAATGCTAAAAATGTAAACGTACCATTACCAACATTCCTGCAGATCTAATATAAAAATTACTATTCCCCCATTGCCATTGATTTGTTGTACACGAATTTCACTTTATACCCTTTAAGTGACAACATCGTTGCTAACCCTGGTAAAAGGTTTGTGTACAGATTTCCCATCCTCTCAATTAATGGAGTTGGAATCTGAATTATCTTCAGATTCATCTCAGTCAAATCCATCCAATTTTGTATTTTTTACCAGTAACATTGAAAGTCTTGCTCAACTCTAAAATCATAATTTCACTTGCTCATGTGAACAGCTATATCATTGTGTTTGAGTATATAGGAAATATCTTGTAATTTTGTTATCTCACTCATTCTTTACCTAAACCTGATTTGAACATGGTATCAAATCCTCCATGACTGACCTAGTGATCTAGCTTTCTATCCTTTTTGTCTTTATTTTTATCATAAAACATTGACTACTAGTGCATATAGGGGCTAATGTTCATCCTTTGTATGATACCCATCACACTATATGGTATTACATGCCCAAGAAAACATTAGTCACAATCTCTATTCTTTCTATTTCTCCTTCCCTACAATATTCATGTTATTTTCAATATTGTAAAGATCCCAACAACCATTCAACCGTCTGAACTCTTTACTGCTAGGTTTTGATATTCTTTATCATCACGAATTCACTGTACCTACTGCTTTTAAGTAAATGCTTATAGCAGCTGGCTTAATACATGTCTGTAGAACTGCAGTTTCTTCGTTTCAGTTGATTACCACTTGTAATCTGATGTTTTTCAGTTTGAAATATAATATCCGCACAGCATTTTAAGTTTTGCTTGTATAAAACCATGAAATTGCATGCGTTTTAAGATTGCTATTTTTAAACGAGGCTTCTACCAAAACCTGCCAACTATATTTGTCTTGTTTATGTGATGCAAGGATGATTTACTTTTTCAATTTTTCAGGTGCAAGCTGTCACTGTCCATGCAACCAATAATTATTTTGTGACTGCTTCACTTGATGGCTCTTGGTGCTTTTATGAACTTTCTTCAGGGACATGTTTGACCCAGGTATGGTGTCTTGTTTTTGCTGTAATACTGGCAATGAAGGGAAGAACTATGCATGCACATCAACCTTTTTTTTGTAGGACACTTTTTATCTGTTGGAATGTGAAAGCTTTTTTAGTGTTTACACAGAATTGGTAAAATTCCATATGAAATGGTTTAGTAGAGTTGTCTGAAGATTTTTTTCCTTCTAAATTAATCTTCTGTAAGTAATATATTTTAACCTTTTATTCAGTCTTTTGTACACAAGTTCGGAATCAGACAATTGATGATATGGGTTGTGTAGGTTTTCGACTCTTCAGGTTCTTCTGAAGGCTACACTTCCGCAGCTTTTCATCCTGATGGTCTCATCATTGGAACTGGGACCACTGAATCTCTTGTTAAGATTTGGGATGTAAAAAGCCAGGTAAACAATTGTTCTTTTACTTTGTTTAAAGTTAAATTTTAGTATTCATTGTTATCTGTGTTGATACCTTTCTTCCATTGGTTGTAGGCAAATGTTGCTAGGTTTGATGGACATATTGGGCCAGTAACCGCCATATCTTTTTCTGAGAACGGATACTTCCTTGCGGTATATGAGAGAATGTTACTTGTAAACATATAATGATTGCCTATACAGTATTCTTATTGTACTCTTAAATTTGACAGACTGCTGCTCATGATGGTGTTAAGCTTTGGGATCTACGTAAATTGAAGAACTTCAGGAATTTTGCTCCATATGATTCAGAAACACCAACAAACTCTGGTATTCATCTTCACTTATTGATGGTCATGTATAACCTATTTATGTGACGGCTAAGTTACGCCTATTTCAAAATGTCTTCGTCTAATTCTGTTTTTTCAGTGGAGTTCGACCACAGTGGATCCTACCTTGCAATTGCTGGCTCTGATATAAGGTGAAGAAAAATTTCTAGTATTGGATTTGGTGCTGTTGCAGAATGTTAAAGAAAAATATCTTCTCTACTCAAGCTTGTTAATTTGTCAACCCCTTTCATTAGATTTAACCTTAAATTGATTTCCCGTCCTTGTTAATTTATGCAGGATTTACCAAGTTGCAAATGTGAAATCTGAATGGAACTGTGTTAAAACCTTCCCTGATTTATCCGGAACAGGTTCTGTATCTTTTCCTCGATTCTTTATTGTTCCTTAAGGGATTTGAGGGTTTCATAGTTACTAAGACTCCAGTTGAACTTTTTCTTCCCAGGTAAGGCCACGTGCGTAAAATTTGGTGCAGATTCTAAATATATAGCTGTTGGATCAATGGACCGGAATCTTCGAATATTTGGCTTGCCGGCGGCTCCTGCTGAGTCATAAAATGCCTCAGTTGTACAGGCCAAAGTCTTGTTCTGAAGTGACTATTGCTGCCATTTGGTGCTTGGTCAATATCTTGGATTGGAGAAATTAATGAAGGTAGTGGTTTCTTTGATTATTTGGTCTTGGTCCTCACATACCATGGTGTATGAGGGATGGAGCAAATGTACTTTCAGGCTTTCTGCAGCAACATTACTATGCCTTTGATCATGGCTGCTAACCTAAGTGACAGAAGCTGCAATATTTGCCTTGTCATCAAAACCTCGAAAGCTTATGTTGTCGGTAGATAATTTTGTAACGTAAACTGTTAAATTAGTGAGATAACTGATTTGTCGGCCATTACTTACTATCAGAAATTTATATGGTTGTAACTATTCTTATTCGGGGTGTTTTTTGTTGATTTATTAGACATGATTAAAAAAAAAAGGTAATAGACATCAACTTCTAGTAGACAAGCTATGAAAAATCATATTGAGCAAAACTTTTTTCTGGATATGACTTTGGTAATGTAAAAGATAAAAAAGCAAGCGATTGGACGAATGGGATGCGGTGACATGTTTACCTGGTCCGACCTATATTGTTTGTTGCCATTATTTATTTATTTCACTATCTTCCACTGCTTATTGACGGAGATGGTAGGTCACCTCTATGTTCATCTATGCCTTTTAGTTTCTTAATACTGATTGGTTTCGTACCATATCATGCCAATTTCACTCCTCGATCGCTGTCGGAAATATTTTTGGTGGCGGTGAAATTCCCCTCCCTTATTTGGAAAATGTTTGAATCTTAAGTTCCACGAAGCTTGTTTCAAACATCACATTGAATGCAAACCAAATTTTGCACCTCATCTCAAATATAAAACCTTGGAACCGCTACCACTGCATTTGTTTGACCTTCATCTGTTATGCATGTATTTTGACATGGAAAAAGAGAGTACCTTGAAGTATTTATATTTAAGAATTCATTTTATATTTTATTAAGAGGACGTCATCTTCAAGAAATATGCTAGAGGTGTGTATTTTACTATTCTCACTTATTTATATTACAACACGTTTTTCAAGATATTTTATAATTTCGATATAATCTTAGATTTTGTTTTCCTTAAATATTATAAATCATTATGTTTTATATGAAGAAAATTTTAAAAATCATTAAAAATGAGATATAAATTTGGTATATTGTAGTATTTTTAAAAAATATAATTAAATGAATTGTTTTTATTAGTGAGTAATTACATTAGAAATGTTTGATATTAGAAGAAAATGTTGTAATCGCAATAATTCTTTTAACATCTCCCACAAGTTTTATACAATCATAAACCATAATTATTAAGTTAGAACTGTGATCTACAAAATTTTATAATTTTCAATAATTTAAATGAACAATGAAATGTGTATTCAAAAGAATATGTTAATGAGGATATTTCTTTTCTTAAAGAGCATTATATTATCATAAATTTATATAATCAAATATTGAAAATTAAACAGATGATAAATAGTTTATACTTTTTATATTTCAAATATTGTGTTAGATGTTAAAATAAAATGATACAATTGAAAATAGATAAAATTTATTAACTAGTTTAAGTACACCAAAACTTATACCTACATGTAAATTGTCAAATAATGCCACTCAAAGGTGATAACAAATTTTGACACAAATTTATGTTATAACCTCTATTATGTCCATGAGTAATGAGAAGTTGAATTACCCACAACCTTAAAGATATATTCTACATTGCCTTCCCTTGTAAGATTTCAATGAACGCCTTGCTGTATTCTAGAGGTTTCACAAACCTCACAATTGAAAACTATACAAAATGGATCTTCCAAATGTAATCGAATGAGAACTTAGGAACAAAATTTCTGATACATCTGATTGATAAATTACTCGATATTATAAACCGCACCCACGAAATTTGGTAACTTTATCTGAAACATCGCTAGTTAAGTAGTTGAGGGGCGATAATTACTCAACAAAAATCATGTCAACGTTGAATCAGATAAGGAGAAGTATATCTGAAACCCCACAACTGCATATAAAAGAAAGAGTGTATAAATAGTAAATCATAGCCTCTTATGGTAGGAGAAATAAGAAGTGGAGAGAAGAAGTCATGACATCTACAAGTAAAACAACAAGCCTAGTCTACGTAGACCAATCAACATCATTAAATAATCAAAAACCAAAATTTCAACGAAACCAAAAATTGAATTGTTTTGATGGTTTGTTTGGATAAATCAATTCATTTTTATAATATCCAGTTTTTAATCTGGATAAACTAGTTTAAGTTCTATTATGTGTAAAAAAAAATTGAAAATTTATTATTAAATTTTACGAAAATAATAATTAGCTAATATTAAATATTTAGTAATTAAAATTAATATTTAATAATTTAAAAATATAAATATTTAAATTTTTATTTTAATATTAATAGAAAAGAAAGGAAAAATTAAAGAGAAGAAAAGAAGAAAGAAGAGGGAGAGAGGAGAGAGCCAAAAGAGAGAAACAGAGAAGAGAAGGAGGAAATTAAAATTAAAAAGAGATGAAAAAGAAGAAAAGCAGAGAGGAAAGAATGTGTAAAATTATATATTTTGTTAGAACTTTACAATTTAAAAATAATAAAAATATTTTCAAAAATTCATAATATATTTTTTTTTCTTAAATTTCTCATTCAAATAACATACTTTACCACAACATTCTTTTATAAAATAGATTATCGTCTTAAATTTTTCATCCATACACTACCTATTGTTTTGTTTTGTTTAGATTTCCAGTGTCTTTAACATCTTGTAGGAGCAATTATCACCACATATTACCCATTAAATGAATAAAAGATTTTTATATATTAGGCTGTATTTTAAGCTACTGATTAAGTAAGTATATGTAAGTTAGACAACAACTTCAGTAGTAATTACCTCAACATTCTTCAATTCAAATTCTGAGTTATGAGCCAAACACACGTTTCCAAATGTATCACATGGTCCACTAGTTCCAGTTAACCTTTCCAACCACAAGAATTCATTCAACCGTAGAGGTTCCATTAGTGCTACTTCAAGAAAAAAATATGAACTGGTTTAACAACAATTATGGACCATTATTGAAGTACTCACAAATCTCCATCTAAGCATAAAGCAGAAGTACCACCACCAAGTGCAAGTAAGTCATTCAAACATAAGTAATAGTACCTGTTGACACCTACAAAAAACATATAAAACCAGAATATCACTAATTAAAAGGAAATTAGAATGAATGAAGCAGCTTTTTCTTGCTTAATATAGAAGATTGAGAGAGCCTATACCCTGCAAAACTGATAATTTATATGTTTCAATTCAAAACAGTCTAAACTAGTAAGGATTACCATACTCTTCTGCAATTTCATTTCGCAATTAACCACAAAAATCATTTGCCAATGCCTTTGAGGCTCAGGATATTAACAAAACCTCATTTTGGAAGTAATAACCAAAATATATAATTTCTTCGTTTGTTTTCATTTCCTTCATGTGTGTTGTTAACTGTCTGTTATCAAAACTACTGAATTTAACTGACATGTTCATATAGAGAAGTTTTTCAAGGAAACAATTTGAGAGGATAAACATGGTTAATGGTAAAATCCTTCCATTTGATTATAAAACCGCATGGTCACTTTGTGAAGTATGGCGAGAAGCATTGTTTTCTAATATGCACAATACAAACTTAGACTAAATAATTACTATACATTAATCCTTGAACTATGCTGACAAACACAACAGAAACTAGAATGTGCTTAGTTTACATGTTTCTGTGTCAGACAAATCCATATTTACGTGAAGCTTGTTAATATTGAAAATAGATATATCTAAATTACAATAGATATTTGACCTCAAAACACTACTATGAACTCATCCAGCATCAAATTTAATCAATGCATCAATATCTGAAATTTGACTTTGTTTCAACATCATACAAATAAAATGCATGTTTTTTTTTCCAGGTATCTTCTACTAAAGACAACTTTGTTTAAGCTGCAAATATCCACCACATGTTGGGGCTAACTCACCCAATAGATATATCTTTCATATACAAGACCTCACTTAAGGGAGTCAAACATGCATCATTAACCACCCCTTGGATACATCAATCACTAAGAATCCTTACCAGTAGGTCGAAATAGCCTTGGCTGACCATGTATGGTTGTAAATACGAAAGTTTGGTTTGTCCCCTATCACCACAGCAAACAGAACAAAATCATATTTCAAGATGTGCAAGTTATTAGCATCAATTCAAAAAGAAGAAGAAAAAGCTTTACATACTTGATATTTTCTCTTTGCAGTAGGTTGCAAGGGACAATCTACCAGCCCTCCAAACACAGCCCCTTGCATATCTCCAACAATCTAAATGTTTCAAAATAGATAACAAATACGATAATAGAATTATACATTAATCTGCAATCAGTAAATCTCCAATGAACACTATAACAGAAGGCATGAATTTAACTTATAAAAGGTCGACATACCAGCAAACCAGGACCAGAAAGTTTAGCACTGTTGCGAAGAAGTGTACGAAGTGATATGCCATGTTTCAACGTACTGCCATTCATTCAAAGAAGTAACATTATATCAATGTTTCAACACAACAGAGTTCAATGCACAAACTAAAAACTAGAAAATAAAAACATTACCTGTAAAGTAGGACCCTCTGACACCCTTTTGTTATATTAGGGAGGCATGACTCAAAAAACTCATTCAATTCAGGAGAAATGAAAGTAGAATAATCGGTGAAATTGGGTAGAGGCTTCTTTGGAGTAGTTGGAGAATTCTGCTCATACACTTCTTCAAAAACTTCAGAACTGCTACTGCTCTTTCTTGAGGCATGATCTTTATCATCACTTTTATCATTCAATAAATCATTGCTATTACTCATGGTACTAGAATCAACATATTTATCCAATATATCACCATCCTGGTTAGCATTTTCACATTTACTCCCGAGAGAAACTGCTTTATGATTGCTTGTCTTGGATCCATTAAAGCCAACCGAAGGAAAAATATAAGACCAATATGAAGACAAAGATTTACCATTTTTAGAACAGGGGTTGGCCTACACAGATAAAAACCTTATGTCAAATATTAAATAATGCAATAATATTCCCACTTAGTAATGCAGAACAATGATGCAGGCTTACACATACATTCTTAGATGTTTGTTCTTATTCAGTTACACATAAAATGAGATGCAAACATATATTATTTTTATGTTCTTTTTAACTAACGTCTGCAACTATAAATGTGATGCAGAATAAAAAGAAGATAAAAGGTGGTGATGCAGCTAATCTATTTTCAAATGAGTAAAACCTTTGAAGAAGGCAACCATACTCCAACTTCAATTGAAGCTTTCACCATTCTGATTTTATTTAATCTTACCAATGTTAATCCATGAACTTTTTTATCAGTTAATATTAGTAAACAGAAAGTCTTAACGAACTAAATTTAAAAAATTATTTTGATGACCAACATCAACTTAAATCGAGAAAGACCTCTACATGAGATGAAACTTTTTTGTATAGTAATTGAAATAGATATTGGTTATGACCAAACAGAATCAGAATAACTGAAATGCAGATCAGTGAAAGTAGAAGACCCATTTTGTTTGTATTGAAAAGAAGAAGAGAATGAAAGAAGAACAGAACCTGGTTGGGAGAGGACTTAGGAAATTCAGGAACTAGACGAGAAAGACTGTGTATGAATTTCTCTTTCAAAGTATATATTTTCGTTTGAAACTGAAATGAAAGGAAATCGAAGCAATGGCATTCAGCTATGATGTGAGTTTCAGTTACTCCATTATCGATTTGGCTCATTGCATCAAAGTTGAAAAAGTTGGCACAAAACAAAACAAGGTTACAATCACCAAATATCATTCACAGTTTTATACATTCTTTTCGCAATTCATATGTGATATAAAAGGTCATAATCTTATTGTAAGAAAAAAAAAAACTGTCATCATTATCTTCTATCACATTGTAAAAAAGTTTCACGTTATCATTATCCTTATCATTACAAAAAGTTAACATTTCTCGTATTTGGTATATATTAACGTAGTTATTCAAAAAGTTACCTTAATGAATATTTTGTATTATTTGTTTTTATAATACTAATTTGACTGGGTTAAAAAAACTGAAGACGCAAGGGATTGTTCATCCTTGTGATGTTTTCCATGGCAAAAATTAAATAAAATTATTGTTTAATATTAAGATTAAATTTTTATGTAAAATTAATATTATGTTGACTTTTTATGTCTTTTACAACATTATATATGCATTTGGACGTGATAAATATTTACAACTTTTCAATGCTTATCTATTACAAATTTCTCACAAAATTTGTTTGAAGTATTAATGAAAATATTGATTGTCAACTATTACTACAAGGAAATACATTAATATTACCTTTAATTATAAACAACAAAAATTATGAATTTATTTACTTTTAAAAGACTAATTTTTATATATCTTTTGTGACAACTCAGAGAGAAGATTCAATGAATACCATTTGGATGAGATGAATATTTATTACTTTCGTATTTATCTGTATTAATTATGAACTTAATAAATTATTTATTGATTTCTTATTTATATTTAAAAAAAGACTTAACCATTGAGGGAAACCTAAATTTTATTATAACAATTGGATCTAATCAAATTTAATTACTTTAATTATATTTAGAAAGAAATATATTTCACATTAATTATATTCATTAAATAGACATTATTGTATGAGTTAATATTACTAATTTAATAGTTTTTATGAATATATAATTAACTTTGATATATTTATTATTTACTGCATTTATCAAATAAATATTTACTATTATTAATTACATTATTTATTAAATTTAATATATAAAATGTAAATTTATTAAGTATAAACATTTCATTACCTTTTTTATATAGATATATTATTTAATATAAATTAGTTATTTTAAAATCGATATGTGTATCCTTAATCTCAATAATATATTTAAAAATAAAAAAAAATAGAGCAAAAGTTAAAATTAAGTATGCTGTAAAACAAAGTTAAAATTAAGTAACATATATTAATATTATAATAATATATAATATTGATCGACTCACCTTAAATATAAAAATGTTGTACGTTTAGTTGGATTTTAATCATATAAAATTTAAACCAATCCGTTTTATAATTTACTTTGAATTTTTTTCTCTTTAAAATGTTTAAACATTTTTTAATAAAAATTGTGAATTAATTATTTTTAATGTTTAGTGTTATATTCATATTTCAAACTTATTCTTATTCTAATTATATTTGATTGAATTCTTAATTTTTAACCTAAAAAATCATATATATTGATTGAGAAAAAGAAAATTGATTAGCGTATATTGATTATTAATTTTAAGATTAGTTTAATCATGAACACTGGTTAATCATATCCTTGATCAATACAGAATAAACGCCTTCCATAATAAAAAATAATTTAAAAATTAAAATTCATGTAAATTGATTTTTTATTGAAATTTTTCTATGCATTCTTCTTTTGAAGAGTTTATTTTAATTTTGGATTAAAATTAGACAACCAAACAGCTTATTATTTAAATATAATACTATATATTTAAAGTTAATTATTAATTAATAAATATAGATAGTTACGTTTCTTATTTTAATTATATTTTATATCTGTATTTATTAAAATTATTATATCTATTGAATTGTAATTTTTAATTATAGACATATAATTTATTTATAAATATAAAAGAAATTAAAATTATAAATAGAATAATAATCCTACAAAATTAATTAATATATTTTTATTTTATAATTTTGATTATATAATATTTAATAATTTTATAGAAAAAAATAAATAAAATTAATTAAAATGAATTATGCTTAACTCTATATTTGATTTAGATTATTATATTAAATTTCAGTGAAATTAGCACACAATCTCATCATAAAAATGTAAGTATTTTAAGTTGAGCTTTCCACACATATAAATATTACCTTATATGTAAGTTTGAAGTTTAATACTGTTACGCAAACATTTGTTTTACATGAGCTTAATTTTGAATCTTCAAAAGATATATTATTGAAATTTTAAATTAATATTATATCTATTTATTTTCAACGTTGATTATAATAAGTTAGGACAAAAATCAATATCTAATTTACATTAATATTTTTATCAATTTAAAAAAAAAATTCAACTTTGTTCATATTCTTACAGAGTCATAATCAGATTCAATTCAAGGATCATATATCTAATTTCCATTATATATTTATTTTTTTAATATATATATATATATATTATTTATTTTTTTAAATATTAAAATATTTATTTATAAAATTATAAATTATTTGAGACAAACATAATCAAAGAAGAGAGAAACCCAATAATCAAAGAAGAAAAAAAAAGAAATGTTATTTTTTTATTTATTATTTTATATTTAAGAGAAAAAAATAAGAGAAATGTATTATTAAAATAAATATTAAAAATAAGATACAACATAGATAAATTATATATATATATATATATATATATATATATATATATATTTTTTTTTTTTCCTCCGAGAACACTAAATAGATCTCACGTTATATATTATTATAGATGAATTATTAATAAACAGTGTAACTATGATTATGTGATTATGCGAAACAATAAAACAATTTTTTATTTTTTTAATTACTGTTGAATTTCTTCATGAAGGCCGGTTTTCTAACCTATAATAATATAAATTATTCCATATTAAAATAATCATATTTTGATTAAGTTTCTTTTATCATTTTTAATTAATCTTATTATTTAAATACTAATAATTTAATAAAATAATTTTAACAACTAAGGTAAAAATATAACAAGAGAAAAAATTAAATATTAATAAAATATACATTAATTTTTTATTTTTAAATTAGATTATTTATATTAACTTATCTTACTAATATATATCTATATATATAATATTAAAATAGGTTAAATATATATATATATATATATATATATATATATATATAATATAATATATTAAAATAAGTTAAATAAGAGTGACTCATAATATATACATAAAAGTGATATTATATTTAAGAAATCATACATGTGACAGTTATGACATCTTAATGAGTAATTAAAAGAATTCAATGAAATAGTTTGTTTATCCGGAAGTTATGCTTATTAAATACATCTCTCTAACAAGTCCACAATCTTATATATTCGACAAAATAGTTTGTTCCCTCAATCAATACGAGTCATAAATTAATAGTATAAACTTTAAAAAATTATTGTAAAAAATAAGAGAGTATATATTATATATGCTGGAAAATCCGAATTAACAGGCTTTAATTTTGTTTTTTATATTAGACTACAAATAGTTGGAGATTAAGACATTATTTATATGATTAATTAGAAATATATATATATATATATATATATATATATATATTATTAATAATTATGTATTTATTATTTTAAGTAATTTGATGCGTAGTAGAGTTTTTTAAACCCTCTAATGGCTAGATAAGAACTCACGTATCACACATTTTAACTTGCTAAAAGAAAATAAGAAAACATCTCGAATACCTCTCATTTCACGAGACAAAGAAATTCCTTATATTTCAATTACTATTTTTATTTCATTTTCTTATTATAATTTATCCCTAATTAAATACTAATAATAAAATATCATTAGCAACTAATTAAACAGCCGACATAAGTCATAATGAGTAAGAAGTAGAAATAAATATCAGTCTCACCAAAGCCCTCCATTTTCATTATATAAAATGGCATAAGGCCAACCCCTTAACATGTATCACTTTGATGGTTTTGGAGCTTCTTACATCTTTCTCCCTGTGAGTCATTCACCTCTTCTATTTCCTTCCCAACTTCAATTATCTTTAACCAGGCCTTGATCTTTCAAGGCTTTTAAGGTATATAGATACTCTACTTTTTTTAAATTGGATTTTTTTTTTGTTTATATATATAACAGTTCAAATAAAAACAGGTAACATAGTTCAGCAAATATGGGTGACAGAAATGGAGATGCTCCAGAATTTGGGTTGAATTTGAACCTACCCCCACCAAGGATTGTTGACCTTAGACCTCAATCTCCCCCTGCTCAGTTACAAGCCATGTCACCAGCATCACCACCAAGTTCATGTGTGTCCATTGAGCTCAACCAGGATGACAGTAACAACAACCACCTTGGACACCCCAACAGCCCTGAAGGTATTTCCCTGGTGTTAGTAGGTTGCCCTCATTGCCTCATGTATGTGATGATCAATGAAGCTGACCACAAGTGCCCCAAATGCAAGAACACCACTTTGATTCATTTTCCTGATGACAAAAACCCTGTCATAAGGAAGGGATAGAGTACTAGTCATCCCTCCTTGCATTTTTGCATTCTCTATTTCCATTAGGATATGTTACAGTTTAAACTATATATGAATGTTCTTTTTAGGATTTTCTATGTTATCTTTTTTTTTCTAAACCCTTTTTGTGAGAAGTGCTATTTTGCTCAACTTTTTACCTTAATCTCATTTACTTAGTAAGAAAATCAGAAAAAGAGGAGTTTTGAGTAAATAAGCACTACTTGTCAAAAGGTTATGCTTAATAAACTGTTGCCTCACTAGGTTGACCATCTTGAATATTAGGTCAGTTAGTTTCTTCCATCATAAATAAATAATGTAAACTTGATTATATAAAATAAAAGAATGAATGCAAGATGTTTTTATTATTTAACTTTCTATTTCATGTTTGATTCATAGATGAGTTTGACCATTTTATTCTTAACTTAATAGAAATTATTTTACGTTATATATAAATAACTACAATTTGAGTACTTTTATATCATTTTCTTTGTCTTTAATACAACCTCTAACAAAACATATAACAAAAAGAACAGATAAAGAAATTTGAATCTTATCAAAACATACGTTAATATCATATTGTTATGCTTTGTCAAACTTATTTAAAAGCTAAATCTAATGTCCGAATAGGATACAACATATTATCATAATCATGGTAAATATTAGACATTCTTAAACTTGTTTAGGTGATTATAGTAATAAACAATTGTCACTCCAGGTTAACCAATATTATATCAATTGACAAATTCTTATCATAAATTTCATAGCTTGGTCTACCTGCATTGAAGGGAACCATCTTAAAGCCTCAAATTTTTTGGAAAAAAAAAAAACAAAGAGAGCTTAATTGAAGTTCTATTTCTAATAAATGCTTTATGAAACTGTTAGTGGCAAATCGAGAAAAGCGATCGAAATCGAAGGGAATAAATATGACTCGATAAGATAAACAAAAGTTCATTCGATGTCTAATTAAAAATACGTAGCATATAGCATCGAGAAACACAATCGAGAATCGAATGAATTGTAATCAAATGACTGTTGTCGAATAAAAACTAAGTCATATAAGATCAGGATTAAAAAGGAATCGTGAGCAATTCGAAGTTCTCGAAAAATATAGAATCGAGAATAAAGAAAGCCAATGGGGACATCGAGATTTTGGCCAAATCGTGAAGGGAAGTAAGTCGAATGCATGTATAGAGAGCAGTTTTGAAATCATGGGTAAAAGTCGGAGATCGTGAGAACGTGGGAAACTAGAAGATAAACTGCCATACGCACGTAGAACGTGGTAGCAGTCGTATTAACTGCTCTTAGAAGGCTTGAAGGATGCCCTATAAATAGAGCAAAGAAGGAAGGAACAGGGGGAGCAGAAATTGGCAGAGACAACAGAAACGCTAGTGAAAAGTCTACCGGAGAAACGACGAATACCATGAAGCTTCTAGCAATCTGGATTTCCTTGCTCACCGAGTACATTTACCGCTTTCTGTATTTTCCTTGGTAATTTACTTTGATGCAACTTAAATTCAGCAGTTTTATGTTTCTGTATTTCGATTCCTTGTCCATTTCAATTCAATGAAAATTTGAGTTTCTGCATTTAGATTTTCTGTTATTTAACATTCTGCAAATTTCGATTTCTTGTCATTTACAATTAATGCAAATTTGGGGTTTTCGCACTTTACATTTCCTCGCAATTTAATATTCTGCTTTTCTATTCGATAGTCTAAATGTTTTCGATACTTTAAATACAAAATACCAAAAACAGTATTTTCGATATCCTGGAGTTTTCGATTTTCATACACGTTTTTGATTGAAAACCAAATTGCTAGCCTAAGTAAAAAGAGCTTACGTGGTAGGATTTTGATTAGGACCAAAACACCCTTAGAATCGAAATCGATCGAAATTCCACCAGAAACAAATTGGCGCGCCAGGTAGGGGTAGTCTTGTGTTGAAAAAACACAAAAGAGGTTAGTTCGTGAGTGTATGGGATTAAGAAGTGGGAGAGTTATAATGAGTCAGAATTCATCAAGTAGTCAGAATAACAATGAGGGTCTAAGTGGTGTGCTCTCACCAAATACCGGGGGGCAAGGGCACAATGGGAGTATGCCTGTAGTATCGACAACTGTAAGTACGTCGATACCAACAAGTAATGAACAAAATCCAGGAACATTGGCAAACACCCATATAGGATCTAGTATGACGATACCAAACAATATGCAAACTATGAGAAACCCATAACCACATATGCAGGGCCATATACGAGTGTAAGACCACCTGGTTTTTCACCCAATAACATGAACGGAGCTGACACTTCGTCGATACATAGAAATTCACGATATAGCTTAGGAATGCCTCCAAACGTAGGTACATTTCAAACCCTAGGCATGCCGCAAAACTTTGGAGTTGCTTCACATTTAGGGGCGTCTCAAAATTCAGTGACATCACAAAACTCGGGGAGTGGGCAAAATTTAGGTATACAACGTGACATCTCCGAATCTAGATCCTAGAGGGAATCCCGATCGTGGGAGGTATGCATTTGATAGGGACTATCATCGATCTAATTTTGAGAATATCGAAAATACCCATACTGGAATTTCCAGAGGAATACTTAGACAACAAATGGATGAGAGTAATTTTGAAATGGTGAATATGTTATCACAACAATTGACTACAGTCTTAAATCCATTAGTGCAAAACACTACTGCTAGCTTTGAGATATTAGCAGACCAAATGTCACGAATCGGGGATGCATTGGCCGTGCCTCGACAAACGAGGATAGAAAATCATACTAATCGAATACTAATATTAATCCCCCATATCTATTGAGAAGGAATAGAAACAATGATCAACAAGAGCAGTATGGGAAATGAGTATCAAAATGTGAGGAATGATATTTATGGAAATTTGAACGAAGGATTTCAAAATATACACAATCGAATAATATGTTGGGACAAAGAATGAATTTACAAGGGATGGAATTTAGACCACCCAATCGGACATATTTTGTGTCTCCCTTTCCAAATGCGATTCTCGAAACAGAATTGCCTCGAGGATATAAAGTACCCAAATTCACCAAATTTGCTGGAGAAGTTGGTGAATCGACTATCGAGCATGTAGCTCGATATCGGATCAAGTGTGGAGATCTAGCGATGAGTGAAGAATTGAAAATGAAATATTTCCCGAGTTCTTTGACTAAGAATGCTTTTACTTGGTTCACGTCATTGCCACCTAATTCGATATATAATTGGCTACAATTGGAAAGAAATTTTCATGAACAGCTTCTTCGGAGGAGAAACTCAAGTGAGTCTCATCGACTTGATGAATATAAAAAGATACAATCATGAAAACATAGATGATTATTTGAATCGATTTAGACAAATGAAATCGAGATGTTTCACTCAAATTCCTGAATATGAATTAGTCAGAATGGCTTCTGCAGGTTTAGAATTCTCGATTAGGAAAAAATTAGTCAATTTACCATTGAATGACATGGCTCAATTAGCTGATAAAGTGAGAAGAGTAGAACAAATCGAGTATGAGAAACAATGGTATAAGAAATATGAGAAACCTCTAAAAAAGGAAAGAATAGCATACATAAATGATGTATATGAGACAGATAATATGACAGAAAATGATATTGAAGAAACTGTCGATGAGAAAGTAAACTTAGCAGAACTCAAAGTGGGGGTTCCATATACCTGTAAATTGCTACAAAAGAATGAAATAAAAGATAAAATGACAAATCGAACATATACTTTTGATGTGACAAAAGCGAGACAAAATCTTTGATATTTTATTAAAAGACAAACAGATTAAGTTGAGTGATGATCATAAACTGCCGTCTCAGTAACAAAGGAATGGTCGAAAATATTACAAATTTCATAATATTTATGGACATTGGACTAACAATTGTATACATTTCAGGAACACCATCCAAGATGCGATCGACCAAGGAAGGTTGAAGTTTGAAGAAATGACAATGAAAATTGATACGAGTCCATTCGAGGCTCAAGTAGGATACCTCGAATCCCAAACAGGCATTACTGATGATGTCTGATTAACACATTCAGCCTTCATAGGCATGGTAGATGTCACTCGAAGACATCAATCCTAAGCATGTCAAGATGGATGTATCTCGAGGAAGATATGGAATTTGACCCGAGTGAATTCGAGAAAGAGTTCGAAAAGGAAATATACCCTCGATCGGAGATTCTCTCATTGAATTTTTGAATAGAAAGAAGGAAAAAGACGAAGATGTGTCATTATGCCCACGATGCAGCAGCAAGTATTCGATAAATCGGTACGCCAAAGCTTTCGAACGTAACGGATGAGGAAGATCGAAAACCAAAATAAAAGGAAAAATGACAAAGTAGACCAAACAGCTCGACCAACGATCGAAGAAAGTCGCAGAAATCCGTTGGCTCTGGTGTTAGTGAAAATCGAGGCAGTGGATTAGAAGAGAGATGTATCCTTCTCGAGGAGGAAGAGGTAGACTTCAAAGTAATGATGTCTTCGAAAGACTCTCGTATGATGATGGATCGACCACTAGATTCCCAACATTTCAAAGAAGATTCCGAGGAAGGCCCCGGAGAAGAGGAGGAAGGATCCCCTATTGGAATAATTACGTAAACTTTGAAGAAAATGTTGCACCTATAGAAAGTCATTATACAAGAGAATTTCTCGATGACAAGGATGATAGTACTTGGGACGAACATCAAATCGGGGTAATATCAATTTTACCTGCGGAATATGTGAGCGAATACAAAGAGTATCAAGAACAAATAGATGCCGAGCGGAAAGCGACTTCTATTCGAAAACATAAAGCCTAAAATAACATGGGTAACACAAACCTCATGTGAAGTTCCTCATAGAGACGCCGCTTTCATCGATCCCCCATCCGAGGAAATGAGGTTCCACATGAAACCATTATTACTAAACATCGAGATTCAAGGACAGATGGTGAATAGAGTCCTTGTCGATGGTGGAGCAAGCAGTGAATATACCGCCAATTA